GCTAATGGGAAAGCAGTAGAGGATGGCTCAAGGCCTTGGGCCCTGCACCTGCGTGGGAGACCTGGAAGAAGCTCCTGACTCCTGACTTTGGATCAGCTCAGCTCTGGCTGCTGTGCCACGTGGGAGTGAACCAGTGAATGGAAAATCTCTCCTGTTCTCTCTGTAACTCTGTCTTTGAAACAAGAATAAGCAAATCTTTGAAAATAAAAAAGTTAAAACTTTTTTTTAATAGCGGGAGGAAATGTGATGACAGGCAGTACTTCTGGGAGGGACTTGCAGGCAGCCGACATCAGGGAAGATTGCACCTGTCAATTTCAGGAGCCTGTACAGCCCACGCCTCCAGGTGGCCGGGGCTACCATGGGGACCCATTTTGCAGATCAGAAACTACTTCATTGCCAGTAGATAGAGCCTGGCACATGAGGATTCAGGGGCCAATAGGAAAATCCTAATGACTCATGTATATAGGAGCCCTGCACTACACAAAAAAGTAAGGTGGAGGGAGGGAGAGTCCAAGAGGCCAGACTGGGGTCAACATCCTACTTTGCGCATCGCCTCAGCAGTGGCATTGCTGGGCCCAAAGCCCCCATTTGTTGATCTGTGTGCAAGATGCTGGATTTCTAGTGGTAGAATGGTGAGGGGCATCCCCTCTCCTCAGCCCCCAGGAGGAAGCTCTCCAGGGCCCGGCTGTGCCCAGCCTTTGCTCCTACAGGGTGAGGAGTAAGACCAGGAGCTTCCTCCCATTCCCCTACCGGAAAGCAGTCACTGAGTCTGGTCCCTTCACCTCCCTGCGTTCAGTCCATGGTGCCACTCTCAGGGACAGACAGGAGAAGAGCATCATGTCGCTGGCACTGGACAGTGATGGTCGCCAAGCCTGTAAGCCAGCTTTTGGAGGCCTGAAGCAGTGGAAATGAACTGTTCCCAGCCAAACAATTCAAAACAAAAATAACCTCAAATCACAACAAATCAGTCCTCAAATATTTGCCCACCATCACATCTTCCATTTAGCAGATGGCCAAATTAGCTTGGCAGTGAACGAGCTTACCGTGGCCCCAGAGCCAGGTTTAACTCCAGGGGCCCAGGCTGCTCTCCATCATTGGGTAGGGTCTCTTGGCCTGGAATACTGTGGGGCCTACTGCCCAACGGGTCAGGTCTCAGGAAGTTGGGTTGAGAAAATTCAGTGTTAGAGATGGGTTAAGAGCTGCTCAGACCTGGTGGTCAGGGGGCTTGTAGGGTCTTGGATAGTAAGGAGAAGCATTGTTCATTCCAATCGCTTAGTGTTGCTGCAGCTGCTCGCTAAAAGCCTAAAGGCCTCTGCAAAGTGGAAGTTGAGAAAGGAACTATCGCCCCCTGGTGGGCATCTCTGGTAGTGGCAGGAGGAGCCTGGCTATAAATCGTGGTGGAAGATCATTTGTTAATCCATGGATGTTTGAAAGGAACTTGTGTGTTGCTGGGAGACTAGTTGTCCATTAAGTCAAATGTCTGAATTACTATATCCTTTAGATCTTCTGTGCTCATACAAGTCTTACCTCTGAGAAGTTTGCTACCATCTTCACACCCTCATCCGGGTTTGTTTTACCATCTCAGTAGACAGCATTTGAGCTAGTTTGGCGCCACTGTGGACTTAGAGCTTTGTATAATCCGGCCCCTGGACCACTTAGGGTCAAGCCCCTGACTCCTGCGGTTCTATAACATCATATCACTCCTCTCATTCTTCCTTCTTTTATGGTTTCTGAAGTTTTTTTTTTTTTTTTTTTTGCATATCCCTTTCACAGGTTCAGTTTGATAGGTGTGTATAATTTGAATTGCAAACAAGAAATTTTTGTTTCATAATGCAAGCTGAAGTCCCTCCTCCCTTAAAAAACTGGAATATCTTAGTCCATTTATTCTAAGAATTTCTATACTCAGCCCTGTTTGGGCTTATGGTTTCCATTTTCATATCCCCTCTTTTGTTCTGATTTTTGGCACAGATTTTCATTATGAAAAGCCTTGTGGAGGTATGATCAACGTGCGGCCCAGGGCACATGAATAATGTCTGTGAACATATGCACTACGAGGTCTTCTGGAATTTGCAGACACCCGAGAAATTGTCACCAACCAAGGCGACACACATCGCCATCGCCCTCCAAAGCGTCCTCACTCCCTCTGGTAGGTCCCGTTGGTATCGTCTCCCCCGATTTATTTTCTGCCACTCGTAATTCATCAGCAGTTTCTGTGAGTGGAATCCTAAGGGAATTTGTTCCCCAAGCACTGTTACTCTGAAACCCGTCTCTGTTGTGGCATACATCAGTGGAACACCCTCGGTAGGGAATTCTAAGCGGCAGTGTTCTTCCTCCGTACTTGAAACATGTCCCCCTGGCTTCCCCATGTGCCTTGTTTCTGACAAGGCATTGGCCATCTCCAGCCCTGTTCCTCCACACACATTGTCTTTTTAAATTCTGTCCCCTGGCTGAATGTTATCCCAATGTGTATATGCTACAGTCAGTACCCACTCCTCTGGGCGAAGGGCATCTGCGTTTTTAGATATGACAAAGTTACGGACATTTGTATTGAAGTCTCTGACTGGGCATGTTTTTGTTTCCTTTCGTTAAATGTGAGTGGAATAATTGGGACGCAGACAAGGTGGACGTTTGAAAAACAAGAAACTGCTGAAGTATTCCCGAAGTTGTACCATGCACATTACATTGACTGAACTCGTTTCCCCAATTTATTCGTCAACATGTGCGTTCATCTGCTCTTCATTTTAGTCATTCTCACAAGTCTGTTTGTTTGCTATCCATAAATTTTCTTTGGTAAAGTGTCTGTTGAAATCTTTTGCCATTTTCAATGGCATTTTAAATTTGTATGATTGGGTTCTTAGAATTCATTTTGTATTCTGGATACTTGTCTTTTTTCCTAAAGCATGCTTTTTGAATATTTTCTTAGTCTGAAATATTCAGTCCCACAGATTGAATAGGGTTGAAGATGAGAAACTTTAGAGTAACTTTATATAAAGTTATAGTTTGGGGGGGTATTTTAGGATTTATATCTAATTTGTCACCCTAGAGAGATTATACCCCATCATATGTGGTGTTATGGCAGGACCCTTACCCATCTTTGTATTACTGTTGTCTGACACTTGACTTTTATAAACCCAACGCCACAATGATACTCCCCCTTGTCTTTTAGAGGAACTCGAGTGGCAAAAGCCTCACTAGCATGCCAGGGCTCTTCTCTTTTGCACATAGTTGCACTTCCATGGTCTGTCTCTCTTCTGTGTGAACACGTCCCTTCAACGTTTCTTGCAGTATGCTTCTCCCAGCGATAGATGTTTTCAGCTTTTATAAATATAAAGACCAATGTCTTTCACCTTCACGTTTGAAGATCTTTTTCACCCGCCCCGATTCGGGCACTATTGCGATCCCTGAGCGTTCCTCCTGCATCCTGCCCTGACAGGCTTGTGTTACAGTTTCTCAGACAGGTCTTCTTGGAGACTTCTCAGTTGGCACCATGTTGCTGTCTCCTACTCAGGGGCCACAGTGAGGATGACAGGGAGGGGAGGGGACACTGGGCAAAGCAGCATGGTGCTCCAGTCGCTCCACTCTATCCTGTTCGCAGCTGGTTCCTGCAAGAGGTGCATGGCTCCCTACGCCGAGGTTCCATGCAGAGAAAAGGAGTTCTCTATTTCCTGGGCCAGAACGGACTTCTCATGATCCTGGCAGTCAGGGAACCCACAGTCACATGGCTGAAAGCTTTGTGCTTTTGGTTTATTCAGCTGGCCAGGGTTAGCTGAGGTCCTGGCACCCTTCTCAGATCCTCCCAGGAGTCCCCACCTCTTGTTTCTTAGACCTTGCCAACAGGCTGTCAGCAGTATGTACCCAGGCACCTTGCTTGCTTCCCTGAGAGCAGGACTGGCCCTGCTATACACTGCCAGGCCGCTGGGACCCTCTCACTGCTGCCAGTGGGAGCTGCCGTCCAGGGTGGGCCCTCCCCACTTCCTCACACACACACACTGAGTGCAGGTGGGCTGGCCCTGCAGCTCTACCTGTCGCATTGTCTACACCTACTCTGGAGAACTTCCTGAACATTCCTGAACAGAGAGAATTGTGTCTCCAGGTTTGTACGCCCCTAGTCACTGGCCCAGGAATTGCACAGGAGGAAGAGTTCAGATAAGAATCTCTCCTTGTTGAACCATTGGGAGCTTCATAGTGCAGCATTTGTCAACTTCACAACAAGGGGCTTTGGGGACCTTGGCAGAGCAGAGAGCGCCGGCTTTGGGGCAGGGGAGAACCTGGGTTTCAAGCTGTGTGGTCCACAGGATCTTGTGGCCACCTGGCGGGTACCAGGAGGCAAGAGGATGAAGATGTGTCAGGACTCCAAGCCTGGGGTCTTGCAGCATGTGGGAGCAGTGGTCCCAGGATGAGGGTAAGGCCCTGTGAGGACACGCAGGCAGTGGGAAGTTGTGGGAAGGGTGTGGTTTGAATCGCTAAGGCCTTGGTTTCCGTTAAATGGGGGAAATGGCAGGCCTCTCTCCCTGGGTTCCTGAGCACTGAATGTGGCAATGGGTGCAAGGTGTCTGCAGCAAGCAGCACAGGGTGGATGGACAACCAACACCAAGAACCTGTGGCACTCTGTGGAGTGCAAAAGAGCTGGGGGCGCAGAGGGCAGAAGCAGCTCTTTGCTCTCTCCCCGCAAGGCATCTCCACTCCCTGTTCACTCTTTGGGGTGACTATTTAGCTCCCCCAGCCCTCTGTGTCTGGCCTGCGCCCTCTGCAGGCCCATCCCCGTGTGCCCAGACCACTGGCCTTTGCAGGCTTGTTTTCAAACCCACATGGCCTTTGCTTTTGTAGAAGATTCTAGCCTTTTACTATCTCCCTTTCCAAGTCAGAAGCCAAGGATACATGAGTTTAGTTTTCTAGATGTGAGAAATGAGTGGTCTTGTTTCCCTAAACGGGTCCCCCTCGTGGACTGCTGCTCTCCAGGGAGACCCGAGCAATGGACAGAAATGGGCCACACACGCAGGGAAGCCAAGCACGTTTGATTTACTAGGGCAATGCCTGCAGGTGAGAGAACAGCACACACGCACAGAAACCCAGGGGCGAGAATGCGGCCCCCACAACACGGCCAGACACCAAAGCAGTGGAAGGGCTCAGGGAAAATCCAGTGAACATCCAAGGGCAGCTTTGGTGCTCAGAGATTCAAACAGAAAACTATACAAAACCAATCCATAAATATATATATATATTATATATGTGTGTATATATATAAAATTGCAAAATAAAAGCCCAAGAAATGCATCATCCGTCTGCATGTGAGTGGCTCAAAACGTGTTAGCATAGAGGCAACACCATTTGTGGGGTGACACAGGATCTGGGACCGGAAGAGGTGGGGCGGCCAGCATTTCAATCGCACAAAGAATATTTACATGGAACCCCTATTTGAAACCACATGATACTAGGAAGGCTACACACAGACCATGTATGTACAAGGGAAAACAAGAGGAGAACCCACATGTGACGATTGTCAGACACAGACATTTCGCTAGAGAACACTGCACCCTCGGTCTAGATGGGGTTCCTGTTACCATGCACCCCGGTTGGGCCATCCCCACCTCCTGAGCTCTGCCCTGCACTCCCGTGACAGGGTGAGCCCTGGGACCCAGTGGTTCCCAGTGACAGAGATGGCAGGAATTTAAAGAGTTGGTATCAGCTGCCTACCCAAGAGAGAACCGTGGGTGTGAGGTGGGCACGATGGAGAATGACTGCCCATTCTTTAAGGGGCTGTGACACTTTTCAAGTGTCCCTTGGGCTTTTCCATAAGACAGCTTGCTGCAGAGAGGAAAGCTGAGGGTCTCTCTGCAGCCAGCCGGCAAGCATCCCCACTTCAATGCTTGCAGGGTCTTTGTAGGAGGCGATGTGTCCATCACAGCTGTCCTCATCCTGGTGCATGGGTAACAGTGGGCAAGAAAGGAAAAAGGGACCAGACCTTACCAGGGAAAACTGGGCCACCAAACACCAATTTGGCAACTCTTCATGCCACCTAAGTGGGAAGCAACACAAACCATCACTTCTGCATCTTTAAGAACACTCAACTGCAAATTCTTCCTAAGAACAGGAAACTACATTTTCAAAGGGACTGTCTGTATAAACACAATGCAAGGGGCCTTGGCCACCAAAGAATGCCCTGCCTTACAGCAGCCCCCATCCCACCCCCGCCAGTGAGCTGGGTATGGCTTCCTGCAAGGCAAAGGAGAGCTGGACATGCCTCAGTGTTGGAGCTCTACACAGAGACTCTCATTTCTGACCACAAGGGTGTCACGCCCAGAGGATGTGGGTCCTAATCAGGGGCTTTGGGAATCATCACACACACACACTTTTGCATATCGCAATGCAACTGTGCATGGATGATGGCCAGCGAGCCTATTTCCTAAACCTGAAGTCCCTTCATGCCTCTTTCTACATTAAATGATCCCCTCAGAACAGGTGTACAGAAGATGACATCTTGCGCCATCGGACTCTGCACTGGACCCTGGCTTGTCCTCTGTGAGTGGAGGCCACCAAGGCATCCTCTCCCTCTCAGAATTTCTCCGAGGACACAGTTGAGCTCCCACATTGGGACCACCTAAGAAGCCCTGTGCCTGTTCTGCTTGAAGTCTGCTGCAACCAAGCCAAGCAACGAGGGTGCTTCTGCCAACCCACAGGTTCAAACGTAATCAAGGAGCAATATTCTCTCACTTCTTTGATGATCAAGGACTGTCTACTTTGGGTCTTGAACTAGAAAAAAGAAAACTCACTTATTTAAAAGTCTGGTCTGTAGGCTTATAGCAGGATGTTTGTCTGTCTATTGCTGTGAATTCTGTTGTGGAAAAATCCAACCTTATTTTTAACCCCTTAGACTTTTCGCAGTCAATCATTCTGTCAGGTGAATGGCTCTTTAAAATCTGCCACAATTAAAGACATGGACTGATAGCACTTCTCCCATAATGACAAGAGTGATGGCACACTGTCACAGCAATGAAGAACTGCATCTGACTGCCTGCCTTGCCCTATGAGGGAGGAAGGGAGGGGGAGAGGGAGGGAGAGAGAACACCCAATGGGGAACAGGATGCAGGCTCAGTCAACATGAATGCCTGGCACATGGCAGAGCTTTACGCAGTGGGGTTTCTACTCTAAGAACCTGCTTCTCATCCAAATCCTTTATAAAGAACCCATCCACACATAGAAGCAGAAACTCGTCTTTGTGACTACAGTGCTAAGTGGGTTATTTCTTTGTGTACAACCTGGCCCATACAAGAAGTCGCCTGAGTCATCTGCAGGTCAGGAAGTGGAAACAGCCTTTTGAAGCTTAGATGGGAGGATCATTGTCCCACCCTGGGACTGGGGATCAGTCAATGGCACACAAGAAAGTCTGGAGCCAAGCTTCTTTCTCTCACCATTCATCCCTCCTTCCTCCCTGTCCCAGTTCCTGACACCTTCCCACAAAAGCAGGTTTAGAAACTTTCCCACTTCCCTGCTCAGCCAGCCACAGAGTGGAAATTCAAAATTTCACATCCCTTGTCTGGAAGATGCAAGCACTCTAAGTGACACACTGAGAATTAAATCCATAGCCTACAATTGCTGAGCTCTCAGATATGCATTTTCTCCAGTCAGATGTTCCTGGTACAATCTGAAGCATTCAGCCAGCTTTCATACAGAACCACCGAAATGCCTTCCTCTCACCCTGGCAGCTATGGTCGTGCTGGGACTGAGTGTCCGTTTCTATGGCACTTGGCACACGTCCTCAAGCCTGGAGCTAAGCATATCACATGTCCAGGGAAGAGGACATGGGTAGAAGGGTCCAACAGCTATCGAAGCAATTATACACCAAGAACAAATAGGATTGGAAACTAACCACTGGCTCTTTGAATATTCCTCTCTTCTTGCTGAAAATCTTTCCAAAGATGCTTTATCCAAAAAATTTTATGACAATGGACTCTGGACTGGAAGGTCACCATTGGCTATGAAGAACAACGTGGTGGGAGATGGGCTGTCAAACACGTGGTTCTGAGTTGCATTTCAATGTTGACATTTCATCAGATCTTCCACACCCCCGGCCCTGTCCCTTCCAGTCTCTGGTTCAGGTCTAATCAAGATGCCATGTGGACTTAATGCCCTCCAAGGCACCCAACTACTTACATAAGAAAGCATAGGCCCTCCACACTTTCTACAAGTTACTTGAGGACCTAGCCGTCTAACTTCAAGAAGCACTTGGGGCCCTCCACCTGGGGCTCACTCTGGCTATAGTGTGCCACCCTGTGGAACACACCACATTCCTATGCCTTTGCCCATGTTCCTCTCTCAGCATGGAATGCCGAACCAACCCTCTCTTCTCCTGGGAAATTCCTCCTTGTTTGGAAAACCTAGCTTAGTGATCATTCCTTTCATGAATTTTTAGTTCATTCTTGCTTCCTCATGTCTCTGTACCCTGGCCCATTTTACAATTTATCTACATGTCTCCTATGCTCATAAAATTCCTGAAGGCAGGAACTAGAGGTCCTACCCTCATACCCTGCCATGACCCAACCTCAGTGCCTGTTTTTTTCCCCCCTTTACACCAGGAATGAACAAATTAATGAATGTACAAAGGCCCCATGGCATGAATTTTAGGAAGCTGCTCCAGCAAGGCCCTGGCATTTTCATATCAATGATACCCATGTCACTGTTGCAAAGGGAATGAAAAGAACTGCCTTGATGCCATCACTCATCCTTGTCTCTGCTTCAATCACTCATATGCAAACAGCCTTGGCAGAGGCTGTGTCCACTGCACTCTTCCTTTAACACTGTCTGCCACTTACTGTTGTAGGCACAATGATTCCTTTCTTTTAATGTAGCAAAATGCTTAGTGGATGTTTAACAAATACTGAGGAAGAGTGAATGCATAAATGAATAAATAATCTATTTTTTAAATAGAAGGCATCACATGATTGGCTTTTTAAAGGCATGTCCTACATAACAGATTTTTCTGAGACACAGATCTTTTGACTATTGGGGTCTCCCTCATAGGATGCAACCCCAGTCAAGTAGAACAGAGAAAGGGGTCCTGGGTTGTCATCAGGAATCTGCATGACAGACATGGAGTAGTAGGCTTTCCTTAGTCACATATCCATTCTTTGCTTCTCAAAACATAGTCATCATGGGACCATGGGCTCTTGCTTTGCCTCTCTTCCAGAAGTCTACTTGGGCACTGCCCCAGTCTAAGCTAACCAGAAACTTCAGGTGCCCTGTTGTGGCTACAACCTGGTAGGCTGACACACCTGGCTTTCAAGTCCTGACATTATGCAATGAAGACCAGGCTCAGAACAGTCACACCTGGGAATTAAATTTGTCCATTCACTAGAGCCGGAACTCAGGATGACCCAAGTTCAAATCTGGGACCTAGAGCCTTCCACCCAAGCCACCCAGGGCAAGTCAATAAGCCTTCTGATGGTTAAGTTTCCTCATTCTCAAAATGGGACTAATCTTGGCCGCCTCACAGGAGTATTACTAGCGTTAAGGATAATGGGTGGGAAGCCGACACAGTGTATATACAGAAAATATTCAAAACTGGGTGAACTGTGATTAAGAATTTCCAAAAATATTTTTACAATAATCAAGACAAAGGGGAAGACACAGTGCTTTAAAGAGGATGGATTGTCTAACTGTGAGGAGTCAACAGCACTCATACATGGGCATCCTGTGGACAAAAGTGAAATCAGTAGGATAGAAGCTAAAGCAAGACCTGTGGCTTCTCTCAGGCCCTGGGAGGGTCACAGAGTGGCAGGCCTGGGATCATCCTCACTCCGAGGATGAGCCTCAAAGGACTTCTCTCTGCTCCTCCTCTGCTGGACCAGGGGGACCAGCTGAAACCAAAGGAGCCAGGGTCCAGGTGCCAAGGAAAAGATGAGTCATGGTTTATGAGCAGGTGCTCCTGGGTCTGAGGGAGCATCAGAAGCCCCTGACACGGGACCACAGAGATGGGACACCACTCGCCATGCACAGCTGGGAAGGCACAGCACGACAACACTTCCTCCATGCTTCTGATCTACCTTGCACAACCCAAAGCCACCAAAGGATTTCAATTTCTCCCAACTTCTGCCCTGAGACAGCTCTTGCCTATGCACAATTTGGTTTTAGTTTTGAAGTGCCTGAGATTGTATGATCCAAATGGGGTCAAGTTCCTGGTGTGTACTAATCATTCATACCAGCCCCCATCCTCAGGCTTCCTTGCCTTGCCCTCGTGTCTGCCGACTCTGACAACAGTTCCATCCTTCGTTCAAGAGGTTCCATGAAGCAAGCTCAGGATCAGGATTTGGAGAAAGACATGCTAAGCCATCAGCCCTTGGGAACAAAGATTAACTTCTGTTGGAGGGGACGAGTCAAAGTGTCTGGTTACTTTGAGCAGAAACACAGGGACCCAACTGGAAAAGAGTTTTCTAAATGGAGAGAGAGAGAAAGAGAGAGAGAGAGAATCCACCAGCAGGAGGCTGGATTCCTGCATGCAAGTGGACCTCATGCAGGAAGCCCTGACCTGTCTGACTTAATCTGAGCCTTCAAGGCCTCTCAGCCCATTTCCGGCCTTCTTGCCCTGGGCTCAGCTTGGTGGGCAACATCCTAACAAGGGCGGCCCACACCTAGGCAGTGTTGTTTAGTGGGAAGAATGCTGGGCTGGGAGCCAGGAGTCCTGATGTTAGGGCAGGCTCTGAGGTGAACGAGCTATTGACCTTGGGCAAGTCGCCTGATTTCACTGTGGGGACTCTCAAATGAGGGAGTGGCCAGGCAATCTGCAGGGTCCCCCTGCACGTGGGAGCCAGGGTCCAGTTCTGCCCCGTTGTGGCCCTGAGCCTTCAGGGACAGAGAAGGGAGAAGGCAAGGGAAGAGGAAGAGGATGCAAAGTGGAGCCCCTGGGTGCCCCAAGTCAGGACTCCACTTTCTCCTTCTTTTTGCTCTTTTTCAGGAATGAGGGGGTTCTGAATTTCTTTTTCTTCTTTGAGGGAGACTTAGAAGGAGAGCCTTCGGGTGACATGGGGCCGCTGGTGACCGACTCGGTTTTGTCCTTCGAGGTCTCGACATCCGTGTCGCCGTGGGTGGTCATCTGGCCGAGGCCTTTGCTCAGGACATCCTCTGCTGACGGCTCCTCCTCCCTCCCATTCACCACCACCCCTTCCGGCTGCGCTGTTTCAGGCTCTGAGGTGTCTTTGCTTGTCTCTGTCGTCTTAGCACCTTCTAGAAAAAGATCAAAATAATCATGACCCTTAAGACTTCACTGTGGTGTGAACATCCACCTCGATCAACAGAACTGTTTCTAGGCGATTCTGTAAAGTGCGTCCAGTGTGCGAAGCAGGCCATATCGACACAGTGGGGAAGCAGGCACTTGGAGGCACAGGGAGGAAGGGGTTCATGGCCAAATCCTGCACCCCCAGCCTTGAGGTCTAGGGAACAGCCCCCTCTGCTAGGCAGGAGCTTGGGACTCTTCTCCACAAACTTTAGCAGATGTGGTGTTGGGACCCAGCAGGGGCCAGCAGAGGCTCCATGCACAAGGAGCACAGACAGAGGTTCCAGACCCAGGGTAGAGAGAGGCTGCAGGGAGGGCACCTTTCTGGAGGCATCTGCAAACGCTAAGCAGCTCAGTTTTGCCAAGAAAGAGAAAGAAGCCTCATGTTTTTATAGCACCCTGCTTCCCACACCAGGGAAGGTCTTCGGGGAACACAAGACTATCCTCAGAGGGCAGAGTGCAGGGGGAGGAAGGGGACTCCCTGAGGGACATGGACCCCATGCACCTCCAGGTTGTAAGGGGGAACCCCTGTCAGCCCACTCTAATGCCCACAAGGGGTCCCTAGCCTAGCTTCCACCTGGGGAACCTGTTGGGATTGTTGTCAGGTTCAAGCGCAGAGCTGCTCAGCCTCTGGGGAACTATACCCTCCTGATACCGACCAGCCGATCCCATCACCCCTGCCTTCATGCAGGAGGAAAAGTTATAAAACCCTAGACTTTGAGTGGAAATCAATTTAATTTGGTTTCCCCACACCCATTTCACAGCTGGGAAAACTGAATAAAAGGAAAACAATAGGGACAGGCCTGTTTATTGATTGTCAGTTCAGTGTTCTTTTCACCATGTGAACTGAGAGGACTGTGAGTGTGTGGCATGTAATATGTGAGGGCACATGTGTAAGTGTGTGTGATCATGAGATCAATGTATATGTGCATACGTGTGTAAGCGTGAGAATGGCTTGAGTGGTATGATTGAGTATGCACGGATGTTAGCATGTGATGTGTGTGAGTGTATAAACATGTAGGTATTTACTTGTGTGTGAACATGTGTAGAATATGCGTAGGGCATGCATACATTAGTAAGTGGCATGAATGGGTGTTAGTGTGTGTGTGTGTGACAGCATGTACAACCATGCGTGGTGTCAGCATAAGAGAATGTATCTATGTTGGCATGTGTTTGTGTGAAAGCAGGCATGCGTGGGTGTCCATTACCACATCACAGGAAGGTATCTGGCCTGCCCTGCCACCCCGGGAGGTGGCACAGGAGACAGTTATACCAGTGTCAATGAAGGAGTAGGTTAAGAAGCAACGTTTCAGGAAAAACTCTGGATTCTTGGTGAGACTAAGGCGTGGGGAAATTCATGATCACAAGGATGGTGGGACGGAGTGGGGAGTGGAGGGACGGTCCAGCCAAGACAATCAGGCTGTGTGGGTTGAACTCCTGGAAAAGGCCTCCTTATGAGGTCCTCCAAGCCCCAGACCACTTCCAGGGATTCTGGCTATAGGGTGCCATTCCTCCAGGGGCTTAGCCTGCTCTGTCTGTGTCCCCACTCCTCCCCATACACAATGAACCTGCCTGTCAGTTTCCTCTTCCTGAAAGGTTCTCCTGATCCCCACCCCCAATTCCATGAAGAACAGCTCACTCCTCCTCCCTTTCGGCCTCCTCTCCTTGCACTCTCACCACAAAACTGTAAAAAGAGCACACTTACTATCCATGCCTATCTCCTCTGCCCTCTAAACTGAAACACATCAGGGCAAGACTGTTGTCTGATTTACTACATTACAAGGTCATAGATGACTCTCAGGAAGTGTTCATAGAATTTACTGATGGTGAAATATACAGGCAAATAAATGAATGTGTGAATGGCTCTGTTCTATATCATCATCACCTCATTTTCTTTGTTGTCTATCCCAGCCCGAGCGTTCTGAGTTGGATACACACATACACTCAGATCGCCCACCTGCTGGTTCACTTCCCAAATGCTCCCACAACAGCTGGGACTGGGACCAGGCTGCAGTCAAGAACCAGGAGTGCAATTCAGGTCTCCCATGCGGGTGGCAGGTGCCCAGTGACTTGTGTCATCGTCACTGTCTGCCAGGGTGTGCATTAGCAGAAAACTGGAATTGAGAGCAGTGCTAGGACTTGAACTCAGGCACTCTGATTATGGGATGCAGGTGTCCCAACTGGCGTCTTAACTGCTGCACCCAATGCCTGACCCAGACCTCCCACTTCCTGTCCAGGTGTCACTTCCTGTTCCAGTGGTGATGAGAGCCCTCACTCCAACAGCGCCCTTCATCCATGTCCCTTAGCCCCAACTCCTCCACTATCAACCTCATCTGCAGCCTCAGTCTCCCTTACAGGTCACTTGAGCAGAGTAACCTTCAGGGTTCTTCTCACAGAGTGGAAAATGAGGATGACCCCAAATCATGAGCTATTTGGGGAGGGGCCTGGAGAAGCCAGGTTCCAAACCGTGGTCTCTCCCCACTCCCCCAAGCACAGGCACAGAGCCTGAAGGAGGATTCTACTGCTGAGAGAAAGGGCAGCAGGGTCCCAGGAGAAGCATGCTTTGAGACTCTGGGAACAAACAAGAACTGAACTCCAGCTCTGTTAACAACCCAGGAAAGGGAAGCCAAGGACTGGGCTGTGAGGGGCCTTCCTGCCTCCTCAAAAATCCACTGGCCTTGTCTCCAGGCTGGGCTCTGGGAACAACGCACAGCAGCAGGACAGGGGCTGGAGAACTGGGAGCTCTATCCCAGTGCGGAGGCAGCAGAGAGCAAGCTCGGACTGGGAGGCCAGGGTCCACAGCCAGTCTCTGGCGAGACGGGAGATGAAGGGCTGAGAGCTGCCAGACACTGCAGGTGGCAGGGAGGCAGAACTGCTGTGGGGGCATTTCAAGAGTGAGCCAGCAGATGGAAGATATCAGTCTCTCCCCTCCCCACCCCTTTCATTCAAATAAAATAAAAGTAATTTTAAAAAGGACAGTTTCACTCAAGTAGACCATTTAGGCATTTGGGATGGAAGCTGTCTGTTACTTCTCCCAGCCATTACCCAACTTAGTGACCATGTGCTCAAAATCTTAGGCCAAGGCCAGACGAAGGTTGACCAGAGGCTGCATGGAAGCCCCGGGAGCTGTTAGCTCTTCTGTGTCTGGACACTAGGATGAGGATGTGGGCAGGAGTATGGGTCCTGCTACCTGAAGGAACAAGACTGCCTTTCCCTCCTGACCTGATGGATCTGCTTTGCTAACATTCCAAGGTCAAGGAGTTCCCCACCAACCACACCTCACAGCTGAGAGAAGCCATCTCTGCAGCTGGGGAGACAGCACTGAAGGGTATGGAGGCAGGATGTGCTCTAAACCAAGATGGATTATGACCTGTGTGTTTATGGAGCGTCCCGACACCACACACTGTATTTAATCCCCTCCTGAAAACACAGCTCCACAACATGCACACAGGAACCATAGAAAAGCACATGAAAAGCCTTGAAAAAAAATCTCTATGACCTTTGTTAATATAACAGCTGGATGTTTGCATAGCAATGGTCAAAAAGACTCCCAAGGCAGTTATCCAGCCTCGAAGGCAAGACACTTGTGTCCCACACTAGAGGGCCTCCACTTTCAATTCCAGCCTCCTGCTAACACAGACCCTGGGAGGCAGCAATGACAGTTCATATACTCAGGTTCTGCCACCCAAGTTGGCGACCTGTGTTGATTTCTTGGTCCCCGGCATCGCCCAAACCTAACCCTAGTCAATGGGCATTTGAGCAGTGAATCAGTGGATAGAAGCTCTATTTCTTTTTCTCTGCTTTTCAAATAAGTAAATTATTTAAAGCATTTTTTAAAGGCCCTTATGATACACAAAATACAGCCAGGGAAGCTGGGGAAGACCAGCAAACAGAACTGCTTTGTGACCGACCCACCAGCTGGATGCTGGCTGTGACAAGAGGGTGCAATCAAGCTTCTATTTGGAAACTGCAATGCCTTGAAGGAGCCACACAAGGGTCTGGCGGAAATTCGGCTTTACAATCTTGTCCCTGAAGGTGAGCCTAGACTTACTTTAACTGGTCCCTAAGTAATTCTGATATAAGAGCTCCACTTGTTACCACTGGGAATCCTTCTCTCTGAAGGACTGAGAAAGGAAGATGAGTTTCTTGCAAACAGGTGTCCAAACACACTTGCTGTGTGGAGTAGAGTAGGAGTGCAAATGTAGCCCCAGTGAGCTATCTCAAGGTGTGTGCACACTCCCCTCCCACAGTGAACCTGGACTTGCCACATGGCTTGTCATAGAATGCAGAGGAAAGGAGACACAGCAAGCCTCAGGCCAAAACTTTAGGGCTAGCAATGTCAGCTTTAACAGTGCGGGGAGCTCTAGCCCACCATGTATAAGATCTGAATACCCTGAAGGACACAGAAGGAGAAGCCACGTGGACAGGTTCTGAGACCAAATGCAAGGGGGAAGAGAGGGAGGAGGAAAGGGGGAAAGGAAGGGGAAGGGAGACAGACCAAGCCATCTCAGTGTCCCGTATGAGCCCAGTTTTCCAGCTATCTCTGTCAGGGTGTTAAATGCGTGAATGCAGTGACTTGAGATACAGAATCAGTTAGTGGCAGGGCTGACAACCTGATATCAAGTTCAGCACAGCTCCTTTGCAGGCTGAGGGGAAGGGAGTCAGCAGGAACTAACAACAGGGAAGGAGCTAGCACAGGTAGCCAGACATGAAGGAAGAAAACCCCAAATCCAACCCTCTGCCTGAGGGGAGACCCATGAGGAGTGACACTGAGGTGGCTTGGCACAGAGCGTTGGAGAGTACAGCAACGAACGGCTTGAGAAGACCATCCCTGATCTGACCAGTGAGCTCTGTCTGCCCGGGGAATCTGAGCCAGCCATTGGGCAGGTGGCCAAGGGCAGCCCTTAGGCAACTTCCACGGGAGCCCTCAGCCTGCAGGGCCTTCTCCAAAGAGGCTGGGCTTTCCGGCCATGTCTGCATTATACGAAGTACCTTCTGCAAAGGCCTTAACTTTTCTAAGAACTCCACCACAGACCTGGATACACACACCGAGGACACACACCATCCTAGGGGCATGGATCTGCACCAGAGGGGAGGAGGAATGCTGCTACAGCAAGTGCAATCCCAGGAAGTGGATAAACATCGTCTCACCCACCACACAGTTCTCCCAGGAACAGACATGGGATTGTCCCCTCTTGTCCTGCTCCTGCCATGAGCTTCCCATCAGCCCTGGATTTCTTTCCTATAGCTGGTACCTAGGTCCCAGTGGATGCTGAAGACCTGGCTAGCCCAGGCCTTCTATGCATCCCTATAAGGCAACAGGTTCCCAAGAGCATTCAGGAGCTGGTCTGCAGCCCTAGAAGAGATCTAGGGCTCCTCAGGGTGCCCGAATGTGGGGACCAGAGATGGGGTGAGTCGCTGAGGGCCCTTAGCCCTCCACCCACTCAGTGTGGGACCTGATGCTTCCCAGATGAGGGTATGCCCTGTGTGGGTGTGCATGTGCCCTGTGTGTGTGCATCCACGTCTCTCAGGAAGCCTAGTCCATGCACAGCACATGTGGAGTTGGTCATGAATTTTACAGCCAGGAGACCTCCTAAGGACAGCGTTATGAGTTCCAAAAGAATAAAAAGGGGAGGAGGTAATAAATCAATTTTGTTGACGAGTTTCTGCCCCCCAGCATTGCAGGTGCCAAGAGTGAGTCAGCAGCCTCTCTATACTTACTATAGAGATAAGCATTCAGAATCAGAGGAAACTCCTGCAACGAAGGCACAAATGGGAAGAGAAAGGGAGACATTGTGGCAACAAGTGGATGGCAGGAGACCACGATGAGACACAGCGAATGGGAACACACACCTGGAGACATCTACTTGGGCTCTGGCCTCAAGCAGATGTGTTTCTTTAGATTTGGGTTGGGGGATCCGTCAGGATCCACACAGATGGCCTCTGGGAGGGGGCGGGGTACAGCAGGCCAAGTTGCTACTGTCTGGATATCAGTGGAGCCCTCTCGGTGGGTCGGGGGTCCTCTTGAGGTCTCCCTGGGGAAAAGTGTTCATGCCTGGCCAGAATGATTCCCAGAGCTCAATACAGACACATTGATGACCCCTCAGTGAATGTATTACTCATTATGACAATGCAGCCTCACAGTGAAAGCAAGTGTTTACTCTGAAATCCTTTTCACTAACATCTCCCTTATACATACAGCAACCCTAAAAAAGGGAAAATCTTAGCAGCCTCATTTGGCAGACAAGGAAACTGAGGCATAGAGGGGTGATCTGGTTTGCTAAACTTAGCAATTGAGTCACTGTTAATTAGCAGATCTGTTGGGCCTGGAACCCATTTCTCTAAGCAGCATCTCTCTGAATGGAGCTGTTCTGAATCTGGACCATCCTTTAAGTTCCTGGAAGGGATTATTCAGTTTTTTAAACTCTACTCCATCCTGCACCTCCCACACCAGACGTGAGAATCAGACCTCCGGGTTTTCACGGCTTCTAGGTGAGGCCCAAGTACAGTTAGCATCATCAGCCTCACTTGGAAAACATACAGTCCCAGGCCTCATCCCAGAATTAACAGATCAGAAGCTGAACTTTAACAAGCTCCCCGGGTAGTCCTTACACACCAGAGACATGGACCAGCATCCTGGGGAAGGCCCAGCAGCTGTCATGTCTGTGTTAAGGTTGAGGCCACCGGCCGTCATTGACCTAGTCACCCCTACACTGTGCTAATTACCATGTACTGTCACAGCTAGTGAAAGAAATGGGCTGAAACTTAGTGACACCTGGTTCAGAAGCCCTAGGAAGAGAAGAGGAAAAGCTTTAGGGATAAGGTGGCAACACCTACAGAGAAGCAGGCACCTGCAGCATGGGAACCTACTTGTCCCCACTTCCACACGGCCCTCTCAGCCTGCAGACAGCTCCTCCCACCTGCTCAGCTGCACTCACCTTCTGCGGACTTGGAAGGAGAGACCGCAGGGCTCTTAGTCTCAGCCTTTGCTGGGCTCTCTGCCGGAGAGGCAGGTGCAGACTTTGCAGGTGAGCCAGGCTCCTCCACGGTAGTTTCTTTCTCTCCTGAAAACACAGAAAACCACTTCAGGACAAGGATCAAACAGGACAGCCGGAGTTGCGGCACATCCTACAAGGCTGGCATCCTACCCAGATGCCAGTTCAAGTCCTGGCTGCTTCACTTGGGACCCAACTCCCTGTTAATACACCTGGGACAATGGTTCAAGTCCTTGGGCCTCTGCATCCATGTGAATCCCAGAAGAAGCTCCTGACTCCTGGCTTTGGCCCTACCTGTTGTAGCCACTTGGGGAAGTAAATCAGCACATGGAAAAGAGTTCCTCCCTCCCCCTCCCTCTCCACAGCCTTTCAAATAAATAAATCTTAAAAGACATTTTTTGGGGTCATTTCTCCTGGCTAATGATGAACTTTCTGCTTCCCTGACTCATGTTTGCTTCTTCCCTGGAGGAACAAGTGGGAAAAATGAGAGCCACATTATTTCCTCCATCAAAACATATTGACTGATGGAAAATGTTATTCCAGAAATGGCCGACAAGGTGGAAGAGAACTCCCATACAGCCAGACCAGTGGTGGCTTTCATCACATCCCCTCTCCACAGAGGGTCACCAGCCAGTTGCTTTATGCTGTGTACATAGAACCCACTGGTGGCAGGGTGAACCAGAATCACTAACTCCCCTTAGAAAGACCTATGGGTCCAGGCAGAGTGGTATAAAGGGTAAAGATGCCTGTGCAATGCCAGGATCCCATACTGACCACTGGCTTGTGTTCTGGCTGCTCCACTTCCTATCCAGCTCCCTGCTAATGGCCTGGGAAAAGTAACAGAATGTGGTTCAAGTGCTTGGGCATCTCATCCATATGGAAAACCAGGAAGACGTTTCTGGCTCTGGACTGGCCAGCCCTGGCTGTTTTGATTATCTGGGGTATAATCAGCAGATGAAAAATATCATCCTTCTCTCTCTCTCTCTCCCTCTCTTCCTCCCTCCCTCCCCACCCCCACTATCAACTCTGCTTTTAAAATAAATCAATCTTAAAAGTTGATTTGTGTGTATAGAACTAGCTAATTTGTCAACTACACAGTTTAATTTTTTATTTACTTGAAAGAGACAGAGGCAGAGACTGTTCATCTGCTGGTTCACTCACCAGACACCTGCAACAGCCATGCCTGGCCCTGGACAGAAACTGGAAGCCAGGAACTCCATTCACACTTCCCATGAGTGGCAGAGACCCCAATCACTTGAGCCATGACCTACTGCCTCCCAGGCTGAGCATTAGCAGGAAGCTGGGTTGGAAGGTGTGCTGGGACTGGAATTCAGGTACACCAACACAGGATGAAGACACACCAAGTCACTATGCCAAATGTCTGTCCTGGATTTACATTTCCTGCCCCCAAAATACTTAAGGATAAAAAGCATCCTATTTTTCTTATTCATGTTTTCAAGTGGCGCAGTGGACCTCCAATGCAGAAATCAGGGATTTTGCTTTGTGTCTAGGAGGATGGCTGACCATGGATGGGGAGGTGTGGTAGCAGAAAAGACCCTGTCCTGAAGTCCAAGTGACAGTCTTGCTTCGTGGACACAGTCGAGGGCTGAATTCTGTGCCAGAGCCCGAGTGCTACTGAAGCAAAGGCAGGAGACAGCTCTGCTGTTTGGGTGGACAGAGGAGGATCCTGGGAGCTCCTCCTAGCTAGAGGGAGGTTGGGGGACTGAGATGTAGCCTCTAGCATGGATGACATGGAGCATGCTAGTTGAGAGGTGAATTCATGCCAGAAAGGGACGAAGGCATGAACCAGGACACATAAGCTCTGAGCATGAACATGAAGAGGTAGATCTGACCTTTCCAAAGGTTCTGAAGGAAATGAGTGAGAAAAAGCAGAGAGGGTCAGCTGGCAGACGGTCTTATTGTCAGGCTTAAAGGACTCTCCTGGATCTGACAGGTAACATGTAATAATCAGGACCACTGGGGCAGGCATTTGACCTACTGACCCCCTGCAGTCCAGCTCATGTCTAACTCCTGACTCCAGGTTCCTGCTAGGGTACACCCTGGGAAGCAGCAGTGACAGTGGCTCAAGTACTTGCATTTCTGGCACCTGTGTGAGAAGCTAGATTGGGGCCCAAGCTCCTGGCTTCAGCCTTGCCCAGCCCCACCTCTGTCACTCTGGGTCTCTGATTTTCAAAGAAATGAAAACTGAATTGTGGTGCTTATTAACATGTTTACCACAGCTGATATTTATGAACATAGGCCACATCCACACATACTTTTCTAAGCACTGAAGCTTGAACTCCTTCGTATCTCTCCCACCCCTGCTGCCATGAGAAGGTCAAATAAAGTCATAAGACCACCATCTAACTGCTGGTCACAGAGTAATAAGAGACATTATGGCAGTTAACAGTGTTAGGCTCATAAAAGTAGCATTTGGTGGAGCCTCTTGGGAGGCTGAATGCTCTGCTCCACCCCAGGAAATGCCAAAGTCCAGGCGGCCTGGGATTTCTTACCCTCGAGCTCCAGCTTCTTCCTCTCCACCTCTTTCTTGTACTCTTCCAACTCCTGGTCAGTGAGTTGGCTGAAGGGATTGGGCACTGTCTCCTCTGAGTCATCTTTGGTATCCGCATCGCCCTTGGACATCAGCTGGCTCTCTGTAGACTGAAAGTTAACCACAGATAGTGCGTGTTGCTCTCTGCATGCCGCAGCTGGGGCCCTGGCCCAAGCTTCCTTTTCACTCAGGTGGTTGCTAGGGGTCTTGCTAGGGACAGCACAGCATGCAGCTCCTTGCACATAGCTCAGGATCTTGGAGTAGGGTCTGTTCCTTCCTCCCCATTGCTACTTCCCTTGACCCCAGACCCTGATTTACACTGCCTGGGTGTATACAGAGGGTATGTCCTCTGCCCTTGAAATAAAATCAGAAAATGCTCCCAAACAGAAGTAAGACACCTTTATTGCAGTCCCTCCTGTGGACTCGGTCAAGCCATTACTACACAAATACAGTTGTCAATCAGCCAATGCCCAGCAAGCACAGCACTGACTCAAGCAAGCTTCCCACCAGCCTTTTCCACCCCCACCCTTCCGCATCCCCCATAGCAGTGCAGACCACAACACATAGCATCAAATCCTTTGCAAAACACAAAGCAGCTTCAGCGTTCTCAGTGCATGGATCAGTCCTGTTTTGCACATGGTCATAAATTATACAAGGGCCAACGTTCTGAGACTTGGCTCTTCAACCTGCCTGTTGTATGGGTTCCCATAAGGACCATGTGTCAGCACCTTTGTACAGGCCCTGATTCTGGGAAGCTGATCAGCCAGACAGGTTAAGACAGGGTCTTAACTTCAGATGCCACAGCACTCTTCCCTAATTGACATCCTCACCACGGCCTTGAGAATGCAGCAGAGCCTTAGCAAAGGAAAGTGAAGCCAGAAGCAGCAGAGGCAGAGGGAGGTGAGCCCAAGGCAGCCAGCCCACCCATGTTCTCCTGCAACCTCCAGTTCTCTCTGCCCTGGCCCATCAGGTCTCCTGGCCACAAGCCCACAAGCTTGTCCCAAAAGGGAAGCAGTGGCAACGGTAGGCTTACTTCTAGGGAATCTTGCTATGATCGAGATCTCAACAACTGCAGGAGAGCATTGACCATAAATGGCAGAGTTGCGTTTTGACAGTTATGGTCATTACACTGAATTTGAGCCTTCCCCCCGCCATAAGCACAAGCTATTTCTATGCTTGATCCCAGGGGCACATTCAGTTCCCCCACCTCTGCAGTGCGGGGGTACGGAGGAGGTGGGTATGCAACTAGACCCTTCAGGGTGCTGTGGGCTGCAGCCTTATCTGAAAGCATTAAGATAGCTCAGTTTGCTCTGCTGAGAGGTGTCTCTTGTATTCCCCCACCTTGTGCTGCTGGGGAAAGTGCCACAGCCATTGCCACCTTGTGACAGGCAGCATGGACGTCAGGTCCAGCCAGAATTCTGAACTTCACTCTAAGCATTAGATGAAACACATCCTGTCTCAAAAATCTGACAAGATGACTTTATACTTTCTGTGTGGGTTTATGTGAGCAACTAACTTGACTTAACTGTCTCTGGCCATCTTGAGTCTGGGAGCACAGGTCCTTCCTGCTCATCCCCTTTCCATGGGTACATGAGCACCTCCCCAGAGCTAACGAGGCCCGATGGTCAGAGGTGAGAAACAAACAGGTCTGAGTAGACCTGGGGCACCAGGCAGCCTCTGGCCACAAGGCTCAAGTCCCTAATCTGGCAGGGTGCTAAGAAAGAGCAAAGTGGAGTTTTTGGTGGAAGGTATCGGAGTGGCTGGCACCCTTTCCCTTGGGCCACTGCTCTCCTTCCTGGAGCCCAAAGGGGGCTGTCTGAGGTAGAGGTGGTCACAGCCCCGCCAGGCGGCAGAGCTCCATTTTGCGGTGACAGCACCCATGCCAAGATCCCTGAGGCAGGTGGACACAAGGATTCAGGGGTGTGGCTGCCCAGCTCCTGGCACTGTGGCCCCAGAAGGCAAACACGCTTCCCCTCCAGCCGGGGGTGGCCTTTGCTGTACCGGGCTTCGGCTCTTCTCGGAGATGACGCTGGCCAGGAGTTGAGACTGAGGCCCCGCTGACTTCACGTCTTGTCGGTTTTGCTCTCGGATCTATGCAGGAAGGGCAGAGTGACAGTGAGCCGGCAGGTCAGTACAGTGTGAGGAATTGGGGTGGAGGGTGAGGGTCTGTCACAGCCCCACTCCACCACCCACCTCCTGCAGCTGATGTAAAAGGCCATCTTTGATAGTTCAGAGGTTGTTGAATTCAAGTATTAGAAGCAGACATTGCAAGAGCATTCCCCAGTTTTAATAACCCTAAGTAGACCCTGAAAAACTTGTTTGCATGCATCCCTGGGGCCACCCCACCCACAGTGATGGGATCAGAATCTCTTGGGGGTAGGTTAATGACCCAGAAATCTGGGCTTCATTCTGCAAACAATCCTTCATTCTACAATTTCCTTTCCCCATATACTATTTCCAATTCTTTTAAACATCTGTAGTGTCTGTGCTTATGCACATGCACTGTAATCATTCAAGATGTGTGTACAGTGTGTGATGATGCAGTTGTGGCAATGAGCATTTCCCTCTCTGTAAACGTAACCGTGCCCAACTGCAACAACTGAGGACATATTTCAAGATAACCAGGGGAGAAAGGGAAGATTTGCACCCACAGGAACCTAGAAACAAGTCCCAAGGCAGCCTGCCCTACACTGAGGATGTCTCTGCCTCCTACTGATCTAGGGGTGGTGGTCTCCTACAGCTCAAGTTGTTAAAAGAACTTCAGAAATAGAAATGGGTGAATTGGCAGGCACAGGCCTGGAAATAAACACTAAGGGTCTCAAAACCTTGAAAATGAGAGAAAAAAAAAAAAGGAAAACAGCGTTAAGAGCTTCATCTGTGGGCAGGTCCTTCAGACACATCTCCAGTGTCAGGCACAAAGCAGTCCTATGGTATAGAACCGAGGCAGCGCAGCACTTCACATAGGCCTGGAACACAGTAGGCTCTTTCTCCTATGAGGCACATTCTGGGAACTTGGCTTGTGTTTGTAGACCCAAGACACCTGGGGAAAGTAGCCACTAGCATACCTTGTTCCTCATGTCCAGCACTTCTTGGGGGTCGGTATAGAGAGGCACAAATTGGTTTGGGTTTTCAATCCGTATGGGCATGCCGCTGCTGGATTTCTCCACCTCGTCAGCCTTCATCCACTGCAGACACAAGGTCAGGTGCATGCATGAGGCCAAAGCATGACGGCCCATGATTCCTCCCAGGGATCCAGCCCATGAGACATGGGACTGCCATTCTGTGTGGGAGGTTAACAAGCCAAACACACACACATGCTCTTTTTTGCACTTCTGGGCAGAGATGAATGACAGATGAACTGGGTACCCCAAGACCCCCAAGATATTTAAAGGATCCTGGAGAGGCTCCCAACAGTGGTAACCTGCTCAGACAGATAGGCTACCACTTGGGCCTCTGCTGGGTAACACAATCTGAGTTTGGAGGGCTTCATTTTGTTTAATAAGGAGCCTGCATTGGGGGCCAGCATCGTGGCTCAATGGGCTAGTCCTCAGTCCTGTGGTGCCAGCATCCCATACGGATGCCAATTTATGTCCTGGCTCCTCCACTTCCCATCCAGCTCTCTGCTTATAGCCTGGGAAAGCAGTTGAGGGTGGTCCAAGTGCTTCTGATCCTGCACTCACACGGGAGACCCAGAAGAAACTGCTGGCTCCCAGCTTTGGATAAGCTCAGCTCTGGACACTACGGCCATTTGGGGAATGGACCACTGGATAGAAGACCTTCTCTCTCTATCTCTCCCTCTCTCTCTGTAAATCTGCCTTTCAGACAAAAATAAATCTCAAAAAAAAAAAAAAAGACCTGCATTTAAGAGAGCACACATGCACTGGAAGATAACTTAACAGAAATGACTATGCTGCCCACCTGCTGGGCTTCCATCACTTCTGCACGGCGACTGCTAGGTGATCACCCCTTGCATTTCTCAAAAACCTGCTCCCTGGACATGGGAGCAAGAAGCAAAGAACAAATGCCCCTGGGTCACACTATTAGGAATGGCCTGGGCCAGCTGTCCTCTGGAACAAATGTACTCTCCAAGCCACAACAGAGCAGAACAGGAGGAAAGGGTCAGGGCCAAGGCCTGGGGGCCGGAGCGGCTACCCCAGATACCTGGTAAGAAGCCTTAATGGGAAAACGGACACAGGCCCGTGTTCAGGGGAGGGTCCAGTTCCTTCCAAAGTTGCTTGACCCCACCAGTGCAGCCTGTCCCCGCCACCCCAATTCCCTGCTGACTTGCCCTCACCGTGGTCTTGGGTCGTGGCACGCCCATGCTCCTCTGGACCTCATCGGCTGTGTTGACCCGCAGGTAGGTGTTGGGTGTGTTGAGCCAGCGTGTCTTCTCCTTCTGTTGCTTCTGCGCATGCTGCCGCAGCACAGGCACCGGGGCCCCGTCCTCCTCAAACACAAAGGCTGTGACCGTGGCTGGGATCTCCACCTCACTTTTGTGCTTGGTTTTCTCTTGCACAACAGGGTGGCGGTACGTGTAACCTGTTCTGTAGCCCTAAAAGGGACAAAAATAGAAATGACTGATTGTGGGGCTCACAACAGTGATTTTCCAGGCAGCCATTTGGTGTATCAGCTAAAACACTGCTTGAGACACCTGCATCCCATGTTCATGTGCTTGAATCTGAATCCAGGCTCCACTCTCTTCTGCCTTCCTACCACTGTGCATCCTGGGATGCAGCAAGTGATGGCTTAAGTACTGAGTTTCCAGCCAACCACATGCAAGTCTGGGATGGAGTTCCTGGCTCCTGGCTTCAGCCCATCACAGGCTGTCACAGGAACCTGGGTATACAAATCAGCAGGTGCAACATCTCAAGCTCTGTCTTCCCGTTGTCTGCACACATCTGTAGCTCACCTGAACGCCCCGTCTCCTGTCAGGAGGTCCTCCCCGTTAAGGCTCCTCCCCTTGTCCTTCAGGACCGGCACTGTCTCTCCTGGTGGCTACATCTTCGTGCAGAAAATTAAACTCTGCTCCCATGCTTTGCCAGATCCTGATTCCTCAAGCTGACTCCACAGAGTTCTAATTCTTTTTTTTTAAGATTTATTTTTTTATTTTTATTGGAAAGGCAGATATACAGAGAGGAGAGACAGAAAGGAAGATCCTCCATCCGATGATTCACTCCCCAAGTGAGCGCAATGGCTGATGCTATGCCGATCCAAAGCCAGGAGCCTCTTCCGGGTCTCCTACGCAGGTGCAGGATCCCAAAGCTTTGGGCTCTCCTCGACTGCTTTCCCGGGCCACAAGCAGAGAGTTGGACGGGAAGCAGGGCCACCAGGATTAGAACCGGCACCTATATGGGAACCCAGCGCGTGCAAGGCGAGAACTTCAGCCACAAAAATAATTTTAGAGGCTGGTGCAATGTTACACCAGGCTAATTATCCACCTGTAGTGCTGGCATCCCATATTGGCACAAATTTGTGTCCTGGTTGCTCTACTTCCTATCCAGCTACCTGCTTCTTCCTTCCAGCTTCTGTTGGAACAGCAGCAGAGGATGGCTCAAGTCTTTGGGCCCTGCACCCACATGGGAGACCTAGCAGAGGCTCCTGGCTCCCGGTTTGGGACTGGCACAGCTCTGGCTGCTGGGATCCTTTAGGGAGTGAACCAGTAGATGGAAGACCTCTCTCTCTGCTCTCCTCTTTGTAATTCTAATTTTCAGATGAAAATAAGAGAAATCTTTTTGAAAATGCAAGAATTACAGAAAAATCTAATTTATATAATCTAATTTATCTAATATATAAGTATATAAAAGCAAGAAGAATGTGAACATCATGCAAAATGTCACCCTCAGAGACAACAATAAAAATGCTTCCATTCATTGTCATACACATATTATAGGCACGTATGAGAGGACCTCAAGATATTTGCGGAAAATGGGATTAAAAGTTAAGTTTATTCTGATGTCAAAGAATTTTGAAATATTTGAATACATGGGTCCTTCAAAAAGTTCATGGAAAATATGTACCACAAAAAAATGCATAGATTTCTATTTTTTTTTTTGCACCAAAAAAAAGTTGATTCCACTTTCCATGAACTTTTGGAAGTGCCCTGTAATGTGTGCATGCATGCTTTAATGTTCTGATGAGTAGTAAAATTGAATATTTTTAATTACATATAACATCCACCTAAATCTCTCCCTTTGTAATTTGTTTTTATTCTTAATGAAGTATTTCTTTTTAACATTGGTTTGTTTGTAATGTCTCTTTTTACAATGAGAATATTCATCTTCGGACTGTTGCAGATGCAAATATCTCCCCCATAATTTGTCTTTTGTTTCTGTTTATGATAATTTACTGAACTGAAAGGTGCAAATGTTTAATGCAATCACTTCTGTTAAGATTTGTCATCTCAATTTCCGACTTTCCTGCCATGTTTGACAAGGCTTTTTCTATCAACACAAGGTTGTCAAACAGAGGAATCTGTTTGAACATTGCTGAGCTTGCTTCTTAGGCTGACAGTTTGATAAATCAGGGATTTATCTTACCGAGCACAATGAGATCTGTGCACCCGGGGCCTATTTCTGGATTCTCTCACCTGTTGCATTGGTTGGCTTGTCTGTTCTGCTAACGCTGCACCATCGAGTTACTGCGCCTTTCTTGTGCTTTACCTTGGCTGGGGGTAAGGGACCGGCATCCCCAACTAGTTTCCTTTTTGCAGCATTTTCCTAGTCATTCTGAGTGTCACATGGAGGAACTTCTGCTAAGTTCTTGTACCTTCTCCCATTTTTAACAAAATTACATTCGATTTGCTCATTAATTTGGGGGGAAATGACTGCTTCGTTCAGTTGAAGTTTTCTAAACAAGAATAAACTGCAGCACTGATTTCAGGTTTTCCCTGACGTCTGTTGGCGAAACTTTATGCTTTTTAAGGAGCTATGTTTGTGTTTGATGATTTTGCTGCATTTGCAAACAGGATTATTCTCTCCCACTACATCTTCAAAGCAGTTCATACTGAGATCATGAATGCTACTGTTTTTATATATGTTCTCAGAATTGGCCACTTTAAAATGCTTTATTTTTTTCAGCTGATTTTCCTAGACTTCATAAGTATTCTTTATTTATCAGAACAGTAATCTTACTTGTTCTACCTCTTGTTTTTCTGTCTCAGTGCCTTGGCTGAAGTTCCATTATTATGCCAGATCACTACATAACAATGCTGAGAGTTGAAATCTCTGCCAGGTTTCAAAATTTAAGGAGTATTGATTCTAGTGTTTTACCATGAACCAGATTCTTATTTTGAAAAAAAAAATCATTTAAATCATATTAATTATATGTCCTCCTGTCCTAGTTAACAGCCATTATTTGTCTAAGCTGATGTAAAATTGTATCAATTACTTTATGATAACATAATCAAAAGTTTTTAATACTTTCGTTCTTCAGCCTCAAGGAATACTTGTATATTTGAGAGACTTATTGCATCAACCACCTCTGAATTCTAATAATGAAGTCATTAGCTACTGTGTTTTACTAATCTAGTGTTAACACTCAATAGTATTTGCTAGTCTTCATCAGCATTCGAAGTAAAGTTTGCCTGAATGGGTTTTCGTTGTTACAGCCGAGTGTCCTTTCATTCTTTTCTTAGAGTGGTTAAAACAGAAGGGCAGGTGTTGCGGTACACCAGAATAAACCACAGCTTGGGACATCTACACCCCATACTGGATTGCCAGTTCAAGTCCCAGCCCCTCTACTTCTGATCCAGCTTCTGGTTGATGTATCTAGACAGGCAACGGGTGATGACCCAAGTACCAGGATTGCTGCTCTCCCCACAAGACACCTAGACAGGGTTCTTGGCTCCTGGCTTTGGCCTGGCCCAGCCCTAGTTATTGCAGGCATTTAGGGAATGAATCAGCAGATATGAGACTGCAATGCTCTTGACACAATAAAGTGAGTCTAAGGTAACAGCAGTGAGGACGGGAGAACGAATCAGACAGAAATGTTACTAAGACATTTTCCTCTTTCACTGCCCTGAGACATTGGCTGCCATGAGCTTCTTACTGTCGATGTTTTCCTCTGTGCATGAATCATCTCCTGTTTAATCTCATATCACCAACTACATTCTTAGCCCTTAAACAAGGAAGAGAGTCTTAAAATTGCTTTTAATGTTCTTTTTTTTTTCTTAAAAAAAAAAAAAGCCAACCCACTCCTGGACAGATATCAGTTAATTTCTTGCATGGTTGGTTCATTCTTGACAACAGGACATGGTTATAAAGCTGCTACCAGGGAATAATAATAGCTATTATGTGCTTCCTGCATTAAAGTCATGAAATAAGAAAGGCAGAACCACCTGCCTACAAAAGGCAAACAAAGTCCTAATCCTAGAGCGGCCCTGGTTCTGGACCAGGTTCTGGACCCCTGCTTCTCAGTGAGCCCTCTGCCTCTACGATGCCATCGTTTGAGAAAACTCAGTTCCTACAGGAAGGATGTAATTCTAAGCATTCTAAATTAAATTGCCAATTGACAAGGCTTCAATGGTTTACCCATGATGCAGGCAGTTCCTGTGCTCAATTTCATTCCCTGCACCGCCTGGTGTAGGAAGTCCATGTACTCCTATGGACTGGTTTGAAGGCCAACGGCCAGGGACTCACCAGGTTGTCCAGCATCCTCATGAGGGCTTCAAACTCATGTTCCCCAAGCCGGCTCTTCTGCATGGGGCCGAAGGTGCTCCCGGCCCACTGCACAGAGCCCACCTCATGAGGCTGGTGCTTCTCCTTCTCCAGCAGGATGAGGTTCTCAACTCCCCCAGCACTGGGCAGAGCTGACACCTGCAGCCAAGAACAGAGAGTCTCAGGCCGTGTGTTTGTGGGAGCACCATGCTTACCTCTGCTCCAGTAGGCCATGAGACAGTGGGAGTTGCAGAGGAGAACTCAAAAACCAGAAATGTTTGGGGAAACCAAGAAATAGCCTTAACCCCCCCCCCCCACCCAGTTTGCTGGGCACACACCCACTACCAGGGAAAGAGGCATCAGTGGTTCCTCTCCTGGCACCACTCCCACAGACTACAGAAAGAACCAGGAAGTATTCAATCCCAAGAAGGCATACAGAGGACTGCCAAGTTACCAACCAACTTGGCATTGTGGTTATTTCTGTGTGTCAGGGGGAGTTGGGGAGGGGGCGGGGATATGAAACTGCTAAGGACGTCACAGGACGTCAGTTCTCTGTGCTACACTACTTCTTTAAGAGCAAAGAGTTGTTATATCTGAGTGATGGGTGGTGGGTGTCTATTGTGTTAGTCTCTGCATTTCCCAATGTGTCTGAAATATACCCTCCCCTTTATACTTTAAAAAAGTCACTTGGAAAAAAAAAAGGTTGGTTTCTATGACAATGAAATTGGAGTGTAACCTGATGGATTGGGCTGACAGTTCTAAAGAGGCAACACGCCCTCACCCAAGGGGTTAAGTAACCACAGAGACCCAGGAAAAGAAAGCAAAAGAACTGGTGATAGCGCAGGCCCAGATACTGTGTAGGGGTTGTCGAGTATTCCCCCTGGGCGCCAGTGTGGGGGGCACAATGTAGGTGGTCACAGGCTACAGATGCTGAACAGCAGGACAACGTGTTGTGTACATGGCAGGTTCTTTTAGTAGGATCCTAAAAACACATTTACTCACCTAAGGAATCCTCTCCCTAGCTTTCTAACCCCATGTTCACCTGGTGGCAAGTGGTGATGGATATACGGGGGTAGACAGAGGTATGGAGGTAGCCCCACTCCCAGTGATTTTGCTTTTTGAAGTTTTAATTACTTGGGGGTATACAGAAATCCAGAAATATTGAATGGAAAAAGAACAGAAAGCAACAGTTCTTAAGTTCTAATTTACATGTGTTGTGATAGCACGACGAGGTTTTGTAGCCTGTGTTAGGAATCATCTGTGTTCAGCACACCCACATTGTGCACACGACCCACCCAAAATAGTTCCTCAGTAGCTGTCTCAGCTACCATGGTGACCATGGTGGCACTGTAGGGCTTCTATTCATGCAACCCCTGTTCTAAAATGTAAGAATAGTGATGATCGCAACTCACATTAGTGGCAAGCTATAACAAATGTTTCCCTTGTGAGAAAAGGTATCAATTCTTAAGGTTCTGTTGCAGTTGCTAAGATCTACATTAAGCAGGAACATTCCATCTGTGAAACTGTGAAGGAGGACAAAGAGTTGGGGGTGGGGAGTGTTAGTTTTGCTGTTGCATCTCAAACTGTGAAAGTACTCAACCCCTGTGTGTGCTCGGTGCTTGGCTCTGATAGAAACGGCATTATGTTGCGGGGTTTGGAACCAGCTGCAGTTCCAGGCTCCTGCTCGGGGTTTTGGAATGTGTCCCCCCAAGGACAAGGGACAGCCGCTCTATATCCTGTCTTGCCACCACGTGGCTATTCGTGGTTAGGATGTGGCTTCCTAGAGAAGTCAGGTTGAGGGGAGACACTGTGGCTTTGGAGTGGCTGAGGTAATGAGCCGGTGCCTTGCACTGCATCTCAGCACAGGAGCTTGCAGGCTTGCCGACCACAGCGAACTACTCAGATGCTATGCATCTTCTGTGTCTCAGTGTTGTTCGGACAGTTCGTTTTTTGCTGAAAACAAATGCTTTTAAGTGTAGCCTGCTACAAATGCAGGCCTATAATTCAGGACAGAGCCTTACATGTGGGAAATCTGCTGGTATTAACAAACATCCCCTACATGCCTTGGGGTGATCTGGACAGCCTTTGCCTATGTGACTCCCACCACTCAGTGCTTGGAAGCAAATGGGAACAGTTTTCTCCTTCCATTATCCACTTGTCCGGTCTGGTTGAAGGCCAATCAAGCCAATAGGGTGCAGATGTCGACACCATCACTCCCTCCCTCCCTGTGAGACTGCAGACAACTCTTTACCATCTTCATGCCTCAGTTTCCTGGTCTATAAAATGGAAAACGCAGCACCATTGGGAGGAGTCTTTCAACAGTGGCAGAACCCTTGAGAACAGCATTTGCCCCATTCATGAAAAACCATAGAAACGACTTTGATAAATGACTTCTGAGAAACATGAGCCCTTGGGGACCCGCTGTTAATGGAGAAGATGGAGAGAGTGGAGGGCTGCCTATGGCCTTGCAAGCTCTGCCCGCTCCCCACCCTGTTCCTCCACCGGTTTCCATGGTGATGGGCAGCAGATGGAGGACTGTTAGAGCTTCTTCCCATCTGCCTCTCAGCTGAGCAGGAGCTGCTTCTCTCAGCTGGGGATGACCCAGTTTCTTCTTCTCTTTTGCTCCCCATCCAGTTGGGGATGGGGAGAACTGAAGAGGCTTTCTGCTAACACGATGACTGCCACATTTGCCTGCTTGCCAAGGTCATTGAAGGGGAAACCTCGGTCTGTTGTGGAAAAGAGCCTCAGTGTAAGCTGCTACACCCAGAAATAACCTGGCTGGGACTCCCATCCCAATGCCACCTGCAGAAGCCACTAGCTGGTTTTCTCATGTCCTAATCCACCCATGCCTCTGCTCTCATCTCTCCTGTTTGCCTTCTGTATCTTCCACCTCCACTTCTCCCTCTAGAAGCTTTTCTCCTCTACTAACTGGTAAAAAAAAAAAAAACAAAGAAGCCACTGGTGCTTTGCTGGGGGCTGGTTGGCTGCATGGCCCAAGGTTCTCTAACAAGGGCATATCAAACCTGTGCTGAAAAGAAGGGGGCAGCAGCGAGGGAGCCTGACCTGTGATCATACTCTGGGTTCTGCCTTTGGTGAAGCTACCCAAGAGCCACCTCTGGAGTCTGCAGCCTGGGAGGGGCACACTTCACTGTTTTTGGGGAGAGGAAGGCAGGGAGAGGGGAGGACAAAGGCGTGGCACTCCATTCACATTCAAGACCATGCTGTCTTTACAAATTTTGTCCTTGAACCGTTCTCTTGTGGAAGCCTCTTTTCCAGAAGCAAGATGGGGAGTCCAGGAGAGAAAGCAAGAGGATTCCCCTTTGTAAGCAGGGGCTCCCTGACCAGGAGGGTCTGTCAGGAAGTGGTCAGAGTTTGGAACCAGCAGTCTTGGTGGAAGCAGGGATGGAGGTACCTAACCACTTTAGAGAAGCATCACCCAGATCCTGTTTGGGGCACGGTATCTCCCACCTTTCTCTAAGAGCTCTTCATCACTGTCTTCACAGCTGTCCTCTGGATGTAGTCCTTTAAAAAAACATGGACAAGCTAACCCCCTGGAGCCTGCACTAGCCATCTTCCTGGGCCCATCTCATCCTCCTCCACCCTGCCAAGTGCTTCCTCTCCATTCTAACCCAGACCGGGAGAGGTTCTGCTCTACCCAGACCGGCCAGCAGAGGGCAGCAAGGACACCAGAAGACCCCTGCAAAGAGCTGACTCATCCTGCACCCAGCCTTTCTTCTTGTCAAACCCAGCCATAAAAATACCATGGGCAACACCTCTCCATGGATGCAAAACCCTATCTTTACAGCAACCCCTAAGCTCCAGGGTACAGTTGATGACACAGAAGTGTGTGGAGGACAAATCTTCCCACCCAGCAGCACATGGCCGAGAGATGCAGCCACCCACGTGGTTAGCAAGCCTCTCCAGTGAGTGTATTATTGTCTGTAGAACTACGAATTGGTCTCTTTCCTATTGCTTTTCTACCAATACCTCCAGGGGCTCAGGGATCAGTAATGTCTCTGCCTTTTCCACCTCTAGCCAGTTGGGGGACTCCATGATGGGTTCCTGGCATTACTCTGGGTGGCCCTGGCTGTTCAGGCTGCTGCATCAACACTCCATCTGGCTGGCTCTCTACTTCTCTTTCTGAATTTGACCATGTTCCCAGCCCTTGCAAAGTCCCTAAATTCATACACCCCTAAAAAAAAAAAAAAAAGAAAACAAAGAAAAAGAAAATCTGTGCATATCATCTATGAGGTTGACTGGGTGCTTTAGGTAGCTCTCAGATAACAGGACAGCATGGTAAGCGTCTCACCTCCCAGAGCTGGGTGCTGGCTGTTCAGACGATGGTGATACATTTTTCAAACCCACAGAACTGACTCTTGAATGTGAAACTTTCAAAGTATAAGGTGCCACAGCAGAGAAACAGCAAGAGTTTCAGGCAGTGGGGCACAAAAGATGAGTTAAGCTAACACCAATGGAGCCACCACCTTTACTCAAAGGTCCCTGCTAGGGCCCACTTCCCAGCAGAATGCACTCACCTGTATCTCACATGCGGCCTGCAGGTGGAAAACCTTATAAAACGCCTCCTCTACGGTGTCACCCAGAGCAACCACTCCATGGTTTCTTAGCACCAGGATCTGTGGAGGAGTAAGTAATCAAACTGTAAACACTCTAGGCTTGAGAGAGAGAGAGAGAGAGAGAGAGAGAGAGAGCTGTCGTTTGATTTACATCAACTCCCACATCCAGTCAAGGCCTTTCTCAATCGCTGCCTCCAACTCTTTATCCTGCAGCCGTACATGGGATTGCAACACACAGCATCCACACAAAAAAACTGGACAGGCATCTTCAAACTGAAACCAAGTAGTTTGTTGGATTTCTTCCAGCTGTGCCTGGGGTTTTAATCCTAGAAGTCTTACAAACTGGTTTGTATGTTAAAGTACAGGCAATAATTGATGTCCAATGAAAGGATCCAGCCTCAAAGCTGTCTGTGTCTTAGTCAAAACCCAGGCGTGGTTCTGGAAAAGGTGGTTCTGCAGAAGCAAGTCCATCATATCTCCTCCCTGGGCCTGCTCCAAGACCCCATAGTTCCATGCAGGAAGCCATGGTGGCCTAATTTGAGTCACTAGTGTCACAGAGGAGGAAACAGATTGAGAAACTGGAAGTCACTCAGCTATTCAGGTGCAGAATCGGAATGAAGGCCCAGCAAGGAGTACCATGTGAGTCACTAGGAGTGCCTTGTGACTACGGGTACAATGATTCTGATTCAGCCATGGGCGAGGGGATAAGACAGGGCAAAGACCAGACATGGATTTACACCCTCCAGAACGCTCTGAAGTGATATTCCTGGCAGCTGGAATGCTGATCCATGCACCAGATCTGCCCCTGCACACCCTGGGCTGAGGCCTGTGGCTCTGGGACATCACAGCTGGCACCAGGCAAATGCAAAGAGACGATGTCTCTGAGCCACCAGATACTGCCAACAACAAACATCTTTCCCTCCAGTTCTCAAAGCCTTCACAGAGGTGGGCACCTCCTCCTTCTCTTTAAACCCCTAAGGGTATCCTAGCGAGACAGAGAGCGAGGTGGGATTTCTCACAGTACTGGGGATGGGAAGACAAGAGCTCATATGGGAACTAACTGGGGCAGTGAGCATCTTTCTCACCAGCACAGGCACCCAAGGACTAGGTCTATTTCTGAAGCTCCTCTGTACAGCGCTGACCAGCCCCAGTCACATGCTATTACAAAACGGGGATTTAGGCTGAAACCAAGCATCAGTAAGACTGCTTTCCCCCGGCAAGCTGGCAAAGTCCCATAAATGAGCGAATGTGAATGCGAGAGCACTAAAGTGTTGGGAGATTGTGGAAACAAGCTTCTCTTCCAGCAGCCATGGCAGGAGGTAGTGGGGGGCTGGGGGAGAGGGGAGTACATCCGGTAGTGTGGCTGCCTAGGAATCCAGCCTCACATGTGGCTGGAAGCACTTTCACGCTGGTGTTGTTTCTACGAAGACGACATTTGGGGAAAAGCATCCTCCAACTTACAATCAGAGAGGCATATAGTGGTACCACAACTCCCACAAGGAGGTTTTATTTAAAACAACAGTTGAGAGAAAATACTCAGTAACACATAAAGCAGTTTCTGCCTATTGCTAGGGAGGAAAACGGAGAACTTACTGCATGGTGCCAGCCTTGTAAACATACGTGACTCGACTCAGGGCATGCACTAAAATCTCCGAGCAGCATGACAGATCTTTGGTCTGCAGCTTCTGAAGAGTCACCATAAGCATGTGCCATTTTCACAGCAGGGGTTTTTGGCAATGCCTCTAGAGGGACCTTCCCCAGGGGAGCAGTGCTAACCTTGCAGGTGGGTCCAAGGCACTTCTGCAGGTTGATGCGATCAGCTTCCTGCTCCATCTCCCCGTTGAAGTCGTAGTAGGCCATGTCGCCCACCAGCAGCGCATTGTGGGAGACAGGCAGGAGACCCCACTTCATGGCTGACACCTGCATGGAGACAATGGACTGGTCAGACCTGCAGCCCAAGTCCTGCTCTGCCATGTCTGCCCTTTCCTCTGCGTGGCCCATCCAGTTCTTCACTGGGGGCTGTGAAGGGCCTGGGGCAGGCATGGGAAGCAGGCCTTTATTTCTTCCCCACCTGCTCCTGCCTTCTCATCATGGGCTTCACAGCAGCCAGGCCCACAAATTACCTGTCCAATTGCTACAAAGAAAGCATCTGAGCAAGCCACTGCTGCCCCTCCTTCGGCTTTGCTCCAGTCTCGGACTCCAGCAAGTGGCAGCTATGGCAGAATCAGCACTAGGTTGGGTGAAGGGGGCCTGCCCCCTGTGCTGGGCTGGTAGAGACCCCCTTGTGATTTCAATGATTTCAGTGATTTCAATGCAGAAACAGCCACACCACCTGCTTCTTAGTGACAGCAAGGGTCAGGGAGAGGTCAGAAGAGAGCTATCTTCCCTTCCTTGTTCTACCCCTCACGTCAGCCCAGGGCTTGGCAGAGAGGACATGAAGCATAAATGCAGCCTCAAGGTTGGATCCAATTACTGGGAGGGTGGAGTGCTCACAACAATGCAACAAGCTTTGTGATGGGTTTGCCCTACTCCTCACTGCAGAGTGTGGCCTGAGTACCAGGGAGAAGGGGGAGGGCTGGTGGCCTCTGCCCAGGCTTGTGGCTGTACCTTAAGTCCACCTGGAAAAATGACCAGAGGTGCCCAGGGGACAGCTTATGCCTTGAGGTTACTTTTTCTGCTCTCTTCCTGCTGGTTTCTGTTTCCAGCTTTCAGCCTCCCCTAAACCTATTGGAATTCATCAAAATTTTTCCTCCTTAGTCTGTTCTGTGTGGAGTTAAAGCCAGCTCCCAGCCCACAGGACAGGCCTGGGTAAGAGGCCCCACCTGGGCATTTAGCAGGACGGATGCTGCTGGGGAATGGACACCCCACACTTACACCTTATACCAAGGCTATGGTAGTAAGACAGCGGGGGACAGGCTGGCCATATTGGGACTGCTCTCATCTTGCCTTGGCCTGATTCCAAGAGATCTTTGTAGATGCTGTTACATGGTGAGATAGCTACTACCCTGGACTGATTATGCCCTTTCCTCGGGGAGAATCTCAGAGGCCTGGCAGCTGGGTGTGGCTGCTGGCTGCGGGGAGCTCCTGGGGATGAGGGGGAGGGGAGCGCATACTCACCGCTGCTGTGGCTGGCGTGTGCAGGTGGATGATGCACCGCACGTCGGGCCTGGCCGCGTAGATGGCCGAGTGCAGACAGAAGCCTGCTGTGTCCACTGGGAAGCAGCTGCTGCCTTTCTCCACCACCTCTCCCAGGATGTTCACCTTGATCTGGGCCAGGGAAGAAGAAGAAAGACTTGGAGCAGCAGGTGGCAGGCACCCCTCATTCCTCTCCCAACAGATGCCATACACTCAGTCCAGATGCTAGGAGCCACAGCTGGGCTTGGCGTTGGGAGAAAATGACCCAGCCCCAGGCTTATAGGAGTCACAGGTGACTGCAGTCCCTCAGGGAAAATGCTAGTAGAGGGCTCCTCAAATGTCATTGTGGGGCCCTGGAAACTGCATTTCTAAGAGGTTCCCAAGGAGTGCTGGCGCAGTGGTCCATGCCACACACTGAGTAGGAAGAGACTAGAAGAGCCATTCCTGAGATTCTCTAGAAGTGGGTTGGAGGTGTCTTTAATGCCAGCGGAACAGGGACCAGAGAGGCCTTTATGAGAAAGTAAGCGGAGCCCTTCCCTCTAATTTTGAGATGAATGGGGCTGGCATGTGGTTCAGTGGGTTAAGCCTCCATGTGCAATGGTGTCTTCTCATATCAGAGCAGTGGTCCAAGCCCCAGCTGCTCCACATATGATCCAGCTCCCTGCTAAAGCAGTTGGCAAAGCAGCAGAAGATGGCCTGAGTTCTTGGACTCCTGCCGCCCATATGTAAGATCTTGGTGGAGTTCCTGGCTCCTGGCTTCAGCCCGGCCTCGCCCCAGCCTTTGTGGCATTAGGACAGTAAACCAGTGGTCTCTCTCCACCCACCTTCTCGTTCACTCTACCTGTCAAATAAATAGATAAATCTTTTCAAAAAGAATTCTCAAAATTAAACACAGAGGTAGGAGAGTATAATGAACACCCGCTTCTCAATCACCGGAAACCAGGTCTGACAGACAGGTGGGGCATAGCCACTGATTCTGCAACCTGCTTTTGACTTCCAGGGGCTAGAGGCTGCCATTGCTAATGAAAAAAAAACATATGTGTGTGCTTGTATGTAGGCAAATACACGTGTGCACATGTGTGAGCACACTTGAGAGACAGCTGGAAGGCTGGCCACGGTGCTCCCTACCTAACAACAGTGTCACAGAAACCAACATTAGAGGAGGTCACATTGTGGCTGTGAAAACGGAGACAAGCAAGCACCCCTTCATTATGCCCAGGCTCAATGAAACAACACTGTGTAAAGGGCAAGCATGACTCATACCCCCTCTCCCGGCTAATGTAGGCATTGCAGCTTCTTTTCTCCAGGCAGCTAAAGCCTGGCGGCAGTACCCTGATCTCCCAGTTGAATCTGTAACACCCCCAGCACGGATGCACCCCACCCATGATGGTATGGATCCAAGGCCACAGCCCCTAAACCACCTGTCCAAAGCCAGAAGCCGCTTAACTTGCTCTTGCTGAACCTAGCCCTGATTCCCAATGACCATCTCCTGCAGCTGGCAGTCTGCCTGACTCATGGGCTACAGTGGTTCCCTGAATGTTAACAAGCCAACGGTTTCCAAAAATTGCTGCAACTCAGACCCTGACAACTGCAACACCCACGACATCCTGAATGAAGCACATAGGGCAGGTCCACAAATTACTTATCTCTCCAGAGGCCCGGACAGACAGGAAAGGTGACCAGGAACAACAACCCGAGTGTGGGGACTGGACATGCCACTGACTCCATCTGCCTCAACAAACTCCTCCTGGGGTGGGTGTTTGGCACGGTGGCTAAGTGCTGTGCCAATGTCCTAAACATGGATCTGAGGATTGAGTCCATCTCTGCTCTCCATTCCAGCTTCCTGTTAACTCACACTGTGGGAGGTAGCAGGTGATAGCTCAAGGCAGACTTGGATGGAGTTCCAAGCACCTGGCTATGGCCTGGCCCAGCTTGGACTATACTGCAGGCATTCAGGAGTTAACCAGCACATGTGTGATCTCCCTGACTCCACGCCTTCCATGTAAAGGACAACCAAATGTCCACTGACTTCTGCTGAACATTCCACCAGCCAGCTGCTCACCAGGCCCACCAATCAGGCTCTAAGAATTCTCTTCCCAGCTTCCTGTGATAGATCACAGCCACCAGGGTGACCTTTGCATGACAGGAACCTGGCAGCAGCATCCATCACTCACTCTCCAGGGCTTCAGTGGGGCTACAGGTCCAGAATAAAGCTACAACCTCTTGCATGCCCTTTATCATCTGTCCCCATCCTCTTCCCAGCCTCCCCTGCAGATATCAATTACTCATGCCACACTTAGCCACCTGTCTGTCTCCCCAAATGCACAGGGATCTTGCACGCATCTGGGCCAAGTATGTCCTGCACTCCAGGGGAGTGTCACCTCTGACACACCTCTGCCCAACCCCCAGGACTCAGTCTGATTGTCCTGTTGGCTCAGGGGGACTCTACTTCTGCATCCCCTTCCCTGGGCTCCCCCACTTCCCTTGAGTTTCCTCATTGTATCCTGGCCTGTTTTTCACCAATGGACCACAGGTATTTCCAAGACAGAGCCTGTGTCCTCCTACCTCTGCGGCCCCAGCTCTCACTTGCTTGCCCATCACCTCCTAGGTGGTCTTCTGCAAGTCAGCTACCCACTCTGGACACAGTAGCCTTGGCCATATAGAGGTCCTGTCCTGCCTACGTATTCTGTGGCCTTATCAGCCTGGAATTTTGGCTGAGGAATCCTCACAGTCCAGCAGAGGTCCCAAGGTGGTGCCTTCCTCTGCCCCAGTGCATGGCTCAGCAGCTGCAGGTTTGGGCATCATTTGCTCCTGAGACAGTCCTTCCTACTGTTTTCCTCCTCCCAATGCAGAAATGCCTCCTGATGCAAGCCATCTGGAAGTCTCCTTACTCCTCTGAAAGGAGCAGCACTGAAAAGGAATCCACAGGTGATATCTAACAGCGCTTGCATTAGGACCACATTGCTTGGCTCCTCTAATGCATTCCCCTGTCCAGGAAAGCATACTCCTCCAACCTTTGTGGTCAAGTCCAAGCTGGGATTTTAAGATTCTAGACACACCTTTTCCCACTCCTCTCCATTGCACCTTTCATTTGGTCTTTTGGTCATATCATCTGCTAAGCACCCAGTCTGTTCCACACAAACAGAACCCCAGACCTGCAGCTCCACCAGGAACAGGAGATCAGTGGTCCTCATGGAGATGACCTGGCCCTGCAGGTGCAGAGGGACCACCATTATTTCAACAAGGAGGGGGACATGGGAGGTGCTGGGATGTACTCACCAGGCTGGATGCTGTAACTTCACTGCAAGAAACTCCCTTAGGGCTAATCAGGAAGTGGTCCTGCTCCTTGCTGACTCTCAACTGGAAGAAAGACACAAATGCTCAGAGGCAAGGAAGGCTGGGTGCATCTCCAAGGATCCCATGCTTGAACCTGCTTCCCCTGAACCCACTGCACCTGTGTCTTCCTTCAATGAACTCTTCCCCCTCCAGCAACCCCTGAGAGAGGAGGAGGACTCAGGTAGATGGAGCTACAAGAAGAATCTCACAGAGGTCAAGGGCAGCTGTAAACCCAAGATCAAGGAACTCCTAATCTACACAAGGAAGTGCCTGCCAGGTTTGCTGTTTGGAAACAAGTGCTCAGGGCTTACTTTGATCAAAGACCACCATACTGCCATGGCCATGCCAAGGGTCAGCATGTCTCCCTTTGCACTCTGTGGGGGCCACAAGGGGTGCTCTGCCCCACGCCCAGAAGCTCTCCTCACCGTGACGTAGGTGTCACTCAGCTGGGCCCAGCCGTAGAGGTCCAGGAGCCGGTAGACGCTGCTGATCTTGCACCGCATGAGCCGCTCCCCCTTGGCCAGGTTCAGGGAGTCAGCCGTGTGAAGGTCATTGATGGGCGTCATCATGGAGAAGTCTGTGAGGGACAGGCCACCAACAGTGCAGGGTGCTCAGGGCCAAGGGCTCCCGTCCACCCTTCCCTGCCTAGTTCTAATGTGCTACAGAACCTCATGACCACCACACAAGAGCCAGCCAGGCAGGGAGCTAAACCATCTCTGAGCCTCTGGCTGTGGGAGGTCCACAGAACAGGCACTGGAGCCTGATTTCTGCTCATTTGGATGAGCATGCCATTGCTTTTGGTTTAAAAAAAAAAAACTATGATTAAAAACAAAACTTAATAATACAGAATAAAAGTTTCTTGGAATGCCAAACTTACTATAAATTCTAAAAAAAGGGACACTGAATAAAAGCAAGAATAAAGTTCAGACTGGGAATAGAGGTTTAGACTCCATTGGTCTGTTTTAATGAAGAAGTCACAGATCATCATACTTGCTATTATCATGCTGTTTTAACTCTACCATGTAATGGGACTTTTTTGGTGGTTTAGAAACAGGGCAGATAGAAAGCCAAGGTAGCCAGGAAGGATGTTTCCTGACTTTCTTTCAAGGTCCTACATTCCCAGAGGTTCCTGGCACTATAGCTGGTTCAAGGGTACAAAGCATGCCTGTGCTCTAGAAAAGACTTCGAGCTGGGCTTGGCAGGCAGGATAATCCACTGGTCCTCAGGGCACCCAAAGTATCTAGGAGTTGGTGTTTAGGCCTTCTCATTAACCACAATGACCACGGCCAGCAGTTCCAGGGCAGAGAGCCTCTGGACACTGGCACTTGGATCCCACAGTGTCTGGGAAGTAACAGAAGGATCCGTAGGAACAAATTCCAGTCTGAAATGATGTCTGATTGGAAGCCGTCGACCTATCTCCCTGCTAGAAATTCTGATGTTGAAAATCCTGATGGGAGGTTATACTCTTTGTGTATCCAACTGCTACACAGCATGAAGAATACCCCACGGCAGCCCTGTCACTGGTAGAAATGAAAAGAGCCAGTCATCAAACATGATGGCAGACTGCGGGCTATTGAGCCAATACCCTGAGACTACAGCATGCCTTGAATTCCACCACAAAGAGCTTCTGCCAACTAGAGATGAGTAGAGAGGGGCAACAGGAGTCCAAAGACCAGGTTAGACAGGCAACCACAACTACAACTCCAAAGTCAGGCGTTGCTAACTGCAATGGGTCAGTCTGGTATCCTTCCTTGCTCTCAGTGGGTTTTCCAAACAAGAAGTGATCCCTTTGCATATCAAAATTCCAAGAGCCCAGGCAACACCAGGTAGGTGGGACTCATGCCAGGAGGGTCTCCAGGGTTGTTAGAATCCTTGCCTAACAAATAACCACAGTATCCCAGGGATGGCTAGGAAGCCAGAACCAGGCTCCAGAACCTCTCAAGAGGACCCATGTCACACCCTGTGGAGCTTCAGCTGTGAAGGACTACCCCACCCACAGCACTAGGGCTCAGGAATGAGAACAGGGCTCCCATGGGGTTCCCTCCTCTGCTCTTGGAATATTCGCCTGAAGAATGCTGATGCTGGAAGCCCCGTGACCCTCACTGACCGCCATGCTTACAACACAGATCTACTGGAGTCATTTACTCAGAGTGCCTGAGAAAGCACTGGAAGAGAAGCAGATGCAGCACGACCACTGGAAGCTCAGCCAGGACACCCTGAGGCCAAAAGCTCAAGTCCCAGAGCAAACAGTGCTACAGAGAGCAACCTTTCTGGGCTCGGACTCCTGAACGTGGACCATCCCTCTCCGAATCGCCTGCCTTTGACATTCAGGATGTGGACTAGATGGAGTCAGAGGCACCTGTCCCTTTTCCAGGCAGATGCTGACTGGTGTGGCAGTGGGGATGTTCTCAACTGGAGGAGTGTAAGGACAGAAAAGTGACAACCATGCAAGGGACTATGATACACCAGAGAGCCAGCGGATAGAACAGGATTGAGAGAAGAAAATTCTTTACTACTGAAAAGATGTGAGTATGCAGGTTGTAAGGACTTAATGTAGGGAAAAGACCATCAACAGAAAAAAAAATCTACAATCATTTGCTTCTTGGAAACATTTTTTAAAAAGATTTATTTATTTTTATTGGAAAGTCAGATATACAGAGAGGAGAAGAGACAGAGATTTACTCCCCAAGCAGCTGCAATGGCTGGAGCTGAGCCAATCCGAAGCCAGGAGCATCTTCCAGGTCTCCCATACCAGTGCAGGGTCCCAAGACCACAAGCAGGGAGCTGGATGGGAAGTGGAGCTGCCTGGATTAGAACCGGCACCCATATGGGATCCTGGGCGTGCAAGGCAAGGACTTTAGCCACTACACTATCGCACTGGGCCCCAGAAACATTTTTGACATAAAAGGATAAAGGAAAATCAACAAACGTCAAGGGGGAAACTGCAATTACCTACCAAGTAACAAAAATAAGCTTTCCAGTTTTCTCTGTTATAAACATGCCAGAAGAAAATGTGAATTAAATACATTAAGAGAAATAGCACAGGGCCCATAAAGTCCCCACCTTGAATTAGCCAGGATCCCATATGGGCACCGATTCTAATCCTGGCAGCCCTGCTTCCCTTCCAGCTCCCTGCTTGTGGCCTGGGAAAGCAGTCAAGGATGGCCCAAAGCCCTGGGATCCTGCACCCGCATGGGAGACCCTGTTCCCTGACTGGGAGCTCCTGGTTCCTGGCTTTGGACTGGCTCAGCTCTAACCATTGTGGTCACTTGGGGAGTGAATCATCAGGTGGAAGATCTCTCTCTCTGTCTCTCCTTCTCTCTGTATATCTGTATTTCAAATAAAAATTTTAAAATCTTAAAAAAAAAAAAGAAATGGTACAAAATAGAGAAAAGTAAAAGGAGGATCAAAAGCTGATCAGGAAGATATAAACAAACAAAAGAAAAAGCTGTCATAAAATTATAGCTGAATGGATATAAACATTTCGTAGGTCATTTCACACTGATTAATATGATACTCTCCATAATGAGATTATAGCTATCATGAACTTTTCTGCTTTGAACAATATATCACCAAAATGTATAGGTAACAACTGTCATAAAAACAAGAAGTGAGAAAAATCAAATTCCATGGGAGATAATACAAAAGTCATTTTTGATAAAATCAAATAGAAATGGAAATAGGGATTACATACGATGAGCGAGACATACTCTAAATCCATATATCATTTCCACGTGGTCCTTGGAGGCCACAGAGAAAATCTTGGTGAGTCCTCAGCGCAGAAGTGAGAGGAGTGACAGTTTGTAAACAGGATGCAGTAAAACCTGGTGTAATCAACAAATCCTTAAAACCATACACGTTCAGTCACTGGAGAGCGACAAAACACATTCCCAGATAGCTCTTGGAAGATGTGGAAACAGGCACTGCGATCCAGGAGTTAATACCAAAGGAAAAGAGTATCTAAATCCAAGGGGTAAATCCAAACGTAAACTCTGAAACAAATCTATTGCTTCAGCTATCATTATTATTCAGCCAAACATAAAAGCAAATCAAATTCATTTTATTCTATTCAAAAAAGAAAAAATAGAAACTATGAAAAATAATTAATGAATATAAAAGCAAAATGAAGGAATTGAGAATCAGGAAACAGAACCATTAAGAACTGAATTGTGTGAGATCTAGGAGTGAATAACCAGTAGGGGCAGAAAATCCCTGGGCTGGTCACAAAAGCACAACCACGCAGCCCCAGGGATGAGAAGGGACTGTCAGCCTACACACAGAGGGAGAGCGAGATGATGCAAGAAGTATCACAGATCACTCTCAGAATTCTGAAGAGCATGGTGAAATGGGCTGCTGAGCATGGGACCAAAACCAGAACATACCAAGAAAAAGGGACAGATTACAGTAAATGGACATTAAAGAATTCAAAAAGGCAAAAAAAAAAAAAGAGTAACATTAAAAGGCAAAGGAGAAACTAGAAACAGGTGCAGTATCTTTGATAGACAATGAGAACATAGCCTTATTTCATAAAGAATTAAAAATCTACAAGAATTCACCAGTATAAAAATTGGCAAAGGATGTGAAGAAGCAATTTACAACCGAGGGAAAACCTGTGCATCGTATGTATATGAAGTTATGGATCATATACAATTTCATTTCTAATCAAGTAAGTGCATATCAACCCCAGAGAAACTGCTACTAAACACGGCTCGGATCAAGAGGTAATACACGCGGGTGCGGCCCCTCGTGCTGCAGGAAAGTGGCACTCTGTGGTTTCCATTTTAAACTCCACGGTGGAGCAGGGCCGTTGCATGCCATTATGCATTACGGTCTTTGCGACATTCATACGCTTTGATCTAGCAAGTGCACTCCTCACAATTCACCTTAAGAAACCAGTCGCAGATAGATTCAGTTATTTACAGGCTTGTTTACCCCATCATAATTCATAATAGCAAAAACAGTTGAAGCAACCCCAAACATCCAACAGTTGTGCACTGACCCAGCAGAATGCATTCATGAACATATTACAGAACCGTACTTTAACGTGTGCAAGATATGCTAAGTCATTGACAATACACATACAGGGGGACTATGTTTTGGTTCATATGATCTAGGCTTGCTAGATCAAAGAATACAAAGGGTTTTAATGTTTTAATGCCTTTAATTCCGGATGGCAAACTGTACCCTGCCCTCTCCAGCCTGGAGAAGGATGGAGCCAATCTACATCCCAAGAGCAAAGCAGGAGGTTAAGAGCAAAAAAGGCTAGAGGAATACAGATCCATCTGGTGTTTAAGAGCAGTAAAGTCATACAATTTTGATTTTTTTTTAACTAGCTTCCCAATCTTCAATCAAAATCTATGAGTCTTGTTAAAGGAGTGCACTGCTCAGAACTCTGTTTTAAAGGTTCTGGGGAAGAGTGTCCCAGCCTGGGAAGGTAAGTTCTTGCAGCGTCTCCCCCCAGGCCTCAGTGATGCAGTCAGGTTCACCCACTGGGACACAGAGCCTTGGGGCTCCAGGGCCTTCTCGCATCCCCTGAAGCCACCTGCACCCATCCACTCCTGGCATCAGGGATGAACCTGCTGTGGGTCTTCCATCACAGCAGAGCCGGTTGCCTGTCTGCCTGCTGTGGAGCTCCCCCATTGCTCATGGGACTGCAGCTTGTGCCGTCGCCCGGCAACCAAGCTGCTCCTTGCAGTTCCTGCTTCCCTTCCCCCGCTCCCCACCTTGCCACCTCTGCTCCTGGTAGCTCCCCAGACACCCACGTACTCATGGAAGGTGCTGGGAAGACTGCTTGGGAGGTGCTGGCCATGAAGTCCGCGATCTGCCGCAGGGCCCAGATATTGGAGGAGTTGTTCCCCTTCTTCATCTGCTCCTGGATGAGGCCTTCCAGCTCCTCCCTGAAAGACTGAACAGGACACCCAAGTGCTCATTCCCCACGGCCGCCCACCTGGCAGGCCGAGGACTCCCCGGCCCAACTGCCAAATGATGAGCTCTAAAAAAGTACCTGCCCCATGCCCCAGGTTCAGCCAGGCCAGGGTCACGCCTAGAATCCCCAGGCATGAGGACCTCAGGGCCTCCCCAAGAAGCTGTGTAGAAAGCAATGGATCCTCTAGTCCCCTGACCCTGTGGGCAGCAATTCAGACTCCAGGTCTTTTTTGTGCTTATATGATGACCAAGAGTGTCCCCTCACAACATCCAGCCAGAACAGACCTTCCCCTGAGTGATGGAGGCCTCAGCTCCCACAGGAGCTCAATGAAAGGGCAGGAGGAAGAGCAGAAGGGTGGGGCGGTCCTGAGCACTTGTGATGGACTTCCAGAAGCTGAGCATTCCAACCCTGAGGCCATGTAAGGGGCATCCTGCCCACCTCAACAAAGGAGCCCTCCCATTGCTGGCAGACCCATGAAAGGACAGCAAGCAGCACGACCTGCTTCCCACCTCCCCCTTGAGGGCCCTGACACCCAAGTCCGTGTGAACTCTGCCACCTCTTCCACTCCTGTTATATGCTGAATGGGGGAGCAGGAACCCCTCATCCCAGTGTTTGGAATCCCTGCCCTGCTCCTCTAGCATCCTCAAGCATGGGGCCATAAGACCTCAGCTGCTCCTCTGTGAGATTCACCCACGCTGACCCTGTTGGTCAAGGTCACACTAGGTCTCACCCCAGCAGCCCAGAGCCTGGGAGGACCCCAGGCAGGACTGCCCATCCTCCTGATCCCTGAATAGCATGTATCTGGAGAAGCCAGAATACCATCCTGTCACAGTGCCCGCAGCTTCCTGAAGACCCCCAAGCTGTGGTCCTCAGGTGCCCTCCACCCCCACCCCCAACAGGCCTGTAGTGCCTCCTCTTCCAGGGATCCTAGGACCACACCCTGTCCTCCTCCAGGCATTGCCTCTCTAGCATGAGCTGTATTCATGCAAGGCAGGCACCAGCTGGGGCCTTACCTCCTTTCCTCAGTCCTTTCTTTATAGACGGAGCTCTATACTACATGGGGCTTCCAGGTCCGCCTCACCCCTGCCCCAGGTTATGAGTTCTGACTCCGTGCTGTTCAACAAAGGACGCCCCCTGCAGGCCCCTATCTGCACGAGTTTATGTGCAGTTCCTGCATCAAGTGAGGAAGCCAGAGAGGGAAGGTCAGAAGCATCGGCTCACAAAGTGTAGTAATCTTCCCAGCCCCATCACCCAGCCAAACTCCCACACTCAGCCCAGGGGTGCCATGCAGCGGGGACTGGGCAGAGGCTCTAGCAGCTATCACATTCTGTGGTCCACGCTCCAGGGAGGAGGGGCCATTCCCTCTCCTCTGGGACTCTGGCTTCCCTGGGCACTCACCGGGCTCTGCAGGATCATGGTGACACGCTTCTTCTGCTCCATCAGGTTGAAGTCCTGCCGCAGGTCTGCTGCCCGGCCGCGGAGGCGCAGGTACTCGGGCTCCTCCTCTGAGAAACGGTCAAAGTACTGCTGATTCTGCGGGGGTGGCGGCGATGCCACTTGAGGAACCGTCCCCTCACTCATCCTCCAGGTGGGGCTGCCGTCCTCAGCTCCAAGTACGCTGTGGAGGAGGGGAGCGAGCAAGTGGGTGGGTGCTCCTGGCCATAGAGGAAGGCTGGCTTGCAGGCCAGGCACAGGGGCATGTGGTTCTGCCCAGCATGGGGGTAGTCGGAGCTCCAGGTGGCTGGGCAGCTGTGCAGCATGCCAACCTAAAGGGGGCGTTGGTGCATCTCCAGACAGGGGACCACCGCCCTTGCCTACCTGGCAGGTAGGCCACTGAGGGGTCACACTAAGATTGGAGAAGATGGTTTCCCAGTGGAAACAAGATCTGCAGATCTTTCCGGGTGTGTCTGGTCTATGTAATGGATGCATAAGCCCAAAACTTCAGACAGGATGGCAGAAAATTGTCATAGGAATAGGGTAGTAGGTAAAAAACCTGGAAAAACCCAGCTCTGTGCTTTGCTTTTGAACTTGGCCTCTGAACCCTGGCAAGGAATTAGTGATGTACCTGCTTCCACACAAAACATCACTAAATAGGTGTTGAGAAAAAAAGAATCGTTGCTGCTTGGAGGGAGCCACGTGGCAGGGTTCCCCTGCTTGGACCTACTCCTGCAATGATGACCAGGGCAGCTTCAGAGAGTGGGGCTGGGGAGGAGCCATGGCTATTTCCTGCTCTTGTGTTCCTTTATGAACACATGACTGCTGAAGAGGCGTGTCTCCTGTCACTACGTGGGAGTCCTTCCGAAGAGTAAGGCTGCATCCCAGTCCTCCCTTCCTTTGCCACGCCAGTCTCCCTTTGTGGGTGAGCACAGCCGGACCCTCAAGTGTGTGTTACCACGCCGCAGGCAGCCTCAGTAGAGCATCAGCCTTTTCCTTCTCAGCAAGGGAAGGCACAGGCCTTGACACACTGTAGTGAATTTCAGAGCAGACGTGAGTACTTAAAAAAAAGTTCATGGAAAGTGAATTAACCCATTTACTTTCATACAAAAACAAATTTGGAGCTCCGTGCCTCGTTTTTTTCCAGGAAACATACTTTCTAAGAACTTTGGGAAAACCCCTTCATCCTCCCATGCATGGAGACCCAGTAATCATTAAATGGGATCAGGACAGGTAGGTTTCCCTCCATAATCTGCTAGTTTCTCCTCTTGCTTGACCTCGCTGGGCTCCCATCCCATTAGAGGACAGAGTATTCTGTTCTCTTGGAGAATGTTCCCGGCCTCCTAGACCTTGGTCTGCCCTGTCTCTTTGCAGCCTGGCTGAGGCATACCTGCTTACCCCCAGCCTTCATTTTCATGACAAAGAGACCTCGTTGATGGCCAGAGAGCACATTCTCGGTGCTCATGAGCGACCCGTGACATCCTTGGCCAAGACTCCACCCTCCCCATCCACAGTCTGTCTGGATTATCATACCCATGGACGGTCATTCTATGATTTAGTTTCCGGAACTAATTCAATCCTGAGCTACATTATCAAAAAAAAAAAAACCAATATCCTGGAAAAGACAAGGAGAATGCCTTGTTTTCCCAACCAGATACTGGGACTGTGTCTACCTGGAGATGTCCAAGATGCTGAGCAGGCACCCAAAGATGGGAGGAGGTGGGCACTGTGGGCCAGGTGCAATCCAGGAAAATCACATGTGGCCTTTGTTGCTGGCACACAGCTACAAACCCTTTCCTAAAATGTCTGTTACAGATCAGAGTCTCTTTTTAGATTATTTATTTATTTATTTATTTGGCAGAGTCAGAGTGAGAGAGAATCTCCCATATGCAGGCTCACTACTCAAATGACTGCAAAGAAGCCTCAAGCCGGGAGCTTCCTCCACGTCTCCCATGTAGATGCAGGGCCCCAAGTACTTAGGCTACTTTCCACTGCTTTCCCAGGTGCATTAGTGGGGAGCTGAGTCAGAAATGGTGCAGCTAGAACTCAAACCAGTGCCTATATGGGATTCTGGCATGCCAGGCAACAGCTTAACTCATTACGCCACAGCACTGACCCTGGTAGGAAATAATGAATCCTTCCAACCAAACCTCCATTAATGCTGGCAAGGTAACTGATGTGCCCATAATGTTTTCCAAAGAGGGCCTGGCCCTCCCAGGAAGTCTTAGCACATAATTCGAAGGTCAGATCTTTAGCTCCATGGTCCCTTCCTCAACTGCCAGGGAGGGAGGGCGGCCTGGAGATTGACTCTAACGAGTTCATCCATCATATCCTTGCAGTGAAACCCTCTGACCTATAATTGAAAGCTTGGGACTTAGGGCACTGAAGCTTGGGAGGACCTCCTGGCTGCTGAACAGGTGGATATGGCAGGATAACCTGTGCCTAGATTCCACGAGGATGCGGATGCGACAAGGAAAGAAGCCACGTATACTTCACAGCTCTGCCCTGTGTCTCCTCTACTTGCCAGCTCCTGAGTTGGGTTCTTTATTATGAAATAATCAATGCAAGTACAGCACTCTGAATGCTATGAGTCATTTTAATAAATCACTGAATCTGAAGGGAGGCCATAGGAACTCCCCCACATTTACAGCTAAGTTGATCAGGAATGCAGGTGGCCTGAGGCCCACCTATGGCTGCTGTCTGTATGGAGGGCAGTCCTATAAGTAGCCTTATTCTTTTTTTTTTTTTTAATGACTGAGACATTTTATTGTATAATTTCTTTTACTTTTTAAAAATGATCTTTTCATGGTTGATTAGGGCTCAAAGGGTCAAGGGCTACAGGAAAGTTGGTAAGACCATAGTTTCCACATTCTCTTTTTTCTTCCTCTATCTGGGGGAAGAGGAGAGACACACCCACCCTCCCAACCATCCCAGGGTCCTCAATGCGGGGCATGTTCTGAGGGTCCTGCTCAAGTGGTTTCAACTGTGGTGACCTTATCCTTTAACTAGTGGCCGGTTATCTAGTTACCCCTGGGAAGGCTCCTGTCATTTGAATGACATAAAGCTGAAGGCAACTTCCATTCCTGGTTTATTCTCACTCCCAGAAACCACTGGGTGAGGTGGATGTCATGTTGTCCCAGCTCTACAAGTGAAGGAAACAAATCAGACATGTTCACATGCCCAAGGTCACATGGCTAACAGCACAGTCAGCCAGGACAGTCTCTAGTCCCAGATCCTGCACCTCTTCACTCTATCATATTGTCCCCAAAGGCGTGCTAGGCCATTCTGTGGAAGGGAACTAAACTGGGGGAGGGGCAGAATTGAAAGTGGGAGGTGGTAATTGACAGGGGCATTCTAGCTGAGGGCATTAGAGCCCTGTGGTTTGCAACAGCTCTCCACCAGCAGGACAGGGGAAGTCCTTAGCCTTGACCCGAGTGGGCAGAAATTCATCCTTCTTGGTGCACATACTTGTTGGAACAAGTATGTCACCCCCACGGCCAAAAAAAGCATCAACTACTTACGTACCAGGAAGCAGGCCAGCCCTGTCCAAGGTCCTTCACTCAGTCTTCAGTCTGCTCTCCCTGCTGTGCTCTTGGGGAAGTCAGCCGCATCTATGCACCCTCAAACATCCAGATGGAACCTGGAAAACATGAAAACAACAGGCATCAGGCACCAGGGCCTCATCTGAACCACCATGACCTCAGCCCCATCCCTAGAGGGCTGCTGGACATTCCCAAATTTGGAGTTTGCATCTGCAAAGCAAATTGTCTGTTGATTTTTTTAAAAAGGCAGCTTTTCAAGTTATTTTTTTAACCTTTACATTACTGTCAAATTTCTTTTGAAAGAGGGTAGTTGGGATCTCCCTTTGCTGAGTGCTAGAGGATAAGGTTCAGAGGAAGGGGCTGTCTTCCAGCCAGGGGGATGTGGAGGGGTGCGGGGCAAGCTGCTGAGTTAGAAGGGACCCCACTCCTGCCCTGCTCCCTCAGTGTGCTGCTACTCCTAGAGTCAAAGATGCTGGTGCGAGTGATGTTTGGATGCAGGCCAAGAGATGGAAGCAACCTCTGCTGAGGCAGCCTTCACTCCTCCTTCCTGTGGCCCCATCCGTCTAACCAGTCATCAAGGTCTTGGTTTTCTGCCCTAAATATTACCCCTGTCTGTTCATCCCTTAAACAATCCCTATCCATGGCCCCTCTTCTCTCAGGCCCACTGTCCAGTCACCAGAGGCACGTTTTTAAGATGGTATTCATTTATTTATTTGAAACTCAGAGAGACAGAGAGATGATCCAGCTGCTGGCTCACTACCCAGATACATGCAATGGGCAGCCCTGAGGAGGCAGAAGCCAGGAACTTCAGTGCAGGTCTCCCAGTTAGATGGTAAGGGCCATCCCCTGCTGCCTCCCAGGAAGCTCACATCCAGGGTAGAGCTGGGACTCAAACTCAGGCACTCAGTTGCATGTTGGATGAGCACAACATGTCCGCTGAACCACACCCTTTCCTGTCACTAAGGATGCATTCCTTAACTTGCATTACAATTTATGCTCCTGGGCTGGCATAGGAGCCTAGCAGCTAAAGTCCTTGCCTTGCATGTGCTAGGATCCCATGTGGGTGCCAGTTTTAATCCTGGCAGCCCCACTTCCATCCAGCTCCCTGATTGTGGCCTGGGGAGGCGGTCGAGAATGGCCCAAAGCCTTGGGATCCTGCACCCATGTGGGAGACCTAAAGGAGGTTCTGGGCTCCTGGCTTCAAATTGGCACAGATTCAGCCATTGTAGCCGCTTGGGGAGTGAATCAACGGATGGAAGATCTTCCTCTCTGTCTCTCCTCCTCTCTGTATATCTGACTTTCTAATAAAAAAGTAAATCTCTTTTAAAATGTCCTGCTCCTTCAGCCAAAACTTACTCAAATATAGATTTGCTTACAAATGCTAGTTTTTTCCCACCCTTGTCTAAATATAAGATTTTAATTTTCAATTAACTTTTTTCCCTTTTTTAAAAAATAAAAGATATATTTATTTAAGGCAGAGCTACAGAGAGAGAGAAAGAAGATAAAGAGAGAGATCGATCTTCCATCCAATAGTTCATTTCCCAAATGTCCCCAATGGCTTGTGTCAAGCCAGGCTGAAGTCAAGAGCCAGGAACTTCTTGTAGGTCTCCCATGTGAGTGGCAGGGACCCTAAGTACTTGGGCCATCCACAGCTACTTTCTCAGGCACATTAGCAGGGAGCTAGATGGAAAGTGGAGCAACCATGATACCAAGCGGCACTCATATGGGATGTTAGCAATGCAGACATGGCTTAACTCACAATACCTACCACTATACCGGTCCCCAGAATTACTCTTAAGCTAATGTTTAGCCAATGTTAAAATCCAAACTCCTTGATTAGCCATAGGATCATGCCTCTCTCTCTGTCCACCCCTTCCCCCAAAAGGAGAACTGCCACCAGGAAACAAGGTCCCAACCCTGAGTGACCACAGCTCTGTGGGCTCTCAGTGCCTGTCAGCCCTCCCTGCCTATCACTGGTCCTCCAGGGTTTTTTTTGCAGACTAGGACAGAAGGCAGATTCTTTGCTCTTTGTGGCACTGGTATGTGAAGAACACCCCTGTCCCTTAACTCTTCCTGTATCTCAATAATTTTCTCCTAATCTTAGATTCTATACCGCCTCCTTTTGACTCACACATCACTGTTACTAGGTTCTTTTATTTCACCCAGAATCCAATGGCCATGATCCAAGATAATGAGCTCCTAGCAGGTAAGGAATGCATTTCTCTATTCCTGGTGTTGCCATAGGGCCTTGTACCTTGTAAGTGCTGAATAAATGTTAGTTGGATCAAAATACTACCACTCTAACATACTAGGGCTAGGCCAGCTTTGTGGGGCAGAACTATCCAGGCCCCAGAGTCCCAGAGTGGAGGGGAGGAGAGCCTGGGGTAGCTGACCATACTATTAGAGAGCTGCACATTTCAGGGTAAGGTGTCAGGTGTCAGTGCAGGCATGCACAGCAAGTGCCCTAGTACCTATATTGCTTCCGCTTAAACAAAGTGTTCTTTCTGTCTTCCAGCTCAGCCTCTTAGCTCATCTGTTGTGAAACAGGATCTCAGCAACCAATTGCAACCTTCCCATTCATAAGCAGAGCTACACAGTATAACACTGGTCACAGCAGAGAAGGTCATATCATACACGGCACAGAGCACTCCAGCAGCCCTCTCGGCTTCCCAGAATTCAGCCTTCCCCTCTTCTTTGTGACAGTCCCTTCCCTAGCCCCATTGACTGCCCACTCTGTTCAGGAGAGCTCTGGAGCCCCTACTCAGCATCAACGGTCTATACCCACGCATCCCTGAACCCTTGTCAACAGAGACCCTGCTGAGGCCTCACCTGGTGGAACAACAAAATCATGAATCCTGCACCCTGTCACCGAGCATCCATTCTCATCCCTGTCCTGCTAAGACCAAGGATGTGTAACTGCTGGAAGAGAAAATCACATGTCTATGCATCATTCCTTGTGGCTGTAAGAATAGACGAGAAGGACCAGGGTATAACAGACACCCACATTTTCTGTCTTGCTGTTTAACTGCCTCAGCTCCTTGCAGCCTGAGGAGAGGCACGTATCTGCCTGACGCCCTTGTAGTGGGTGGAACCCTAGCTAGCCTGCATCGCTCAGTACCCAGAGACCACAGCTATCTCTCCCAGCTGCCTTCCACAGCTAAGGCAGGGCACCCCCAGGAAGGCAACCCTGTGTCAGCACCAGGTGCCGACTCACAGGCCAGCTCTGAGCATAGACAGCATAAGCTTTGCCCCACTAAGATTCAAAGACAGAACCCAAACTCACCGACCCTTGAGAGAGACTCCCACGGACAAAGTCAGTCATGTGGCTGCAACTGTGCAGAGGAGTTGGAGTTGGAGGTAGGGGATAAAGGAGCTAGACCACACCCTGCCTGACGCCCTCAGATAAAGCGGAAGCTCATGGCTCTGCTTGCGGGGAGATGGGGTGCACTTATCATCACCTCCTCACCCGCTTCTGAGTAGTCCACAGTTGTACACTAGGCATCAGCTCCTGTGCTCACTCAGGATAAAAATTCTGCAAAGGAAGAAAGAGAAGAGAGGAGGGAGAAAGGCAGTAGCCCTCTCTGCATCCTTCTCCAAACACCCAAGGCTGGAAGAATCCTGTCATTGCCCCAACACGCACCTCTGTCTGGGCATCGTGACGCCATCCTTCCTCCTGAGACAGGAAGTTTTATACACCTTCCAGCAAAGGGTCACAAACCCAGTGGTGCTGGGCGACTTCTTCCATTCTCCTGCTCCCCAGGAACTGCACTACTATAAAATGCACCCAATCCAATGTCTGTCTGCTTCTCACACACCCAATGTCTGTTCCATTTCTTCTCATGGGACAAGTATGGTTACTGTTGCTTAGGAGTGGACAAGAACTGGAATTGGGCGTCAGAGGAAAAGCACCTGCCAGAACTAAGACATGGACTTTAGCTGCGAGAGATACACAGTCATGTTTATGTGAAACCATGACAACTGATGTAACAAACATGATATTAACATGTACATGTAGATATTCAACTGTTAGGGTCACCACGCAGGACACTAAATGTGAATGCCAGGCGTGATTTGAAATGAATGGCATGACTCATTGGGACCACATTTATGGGGACCAAGGTCCTGAGTTAGAAGCCAATAAAAACAAACAGGTGCCATGGCTCTGCTGAGTCTCTCTCCCTAGCCCTGCAGTAGAGTGCACGGCACCAGGGTTTTCAGGAAAAACGAGGCTGCAGGAAGCTTGAGGGACTTCCTCCTTGCCGAAGAACTAGCAAGGGGCAGAGCCTGGCTTTGAACCCACCTGGTTTCAGAGCCTCTTTTTCTTTTTTTACTTTCCCCTTCCTTCCTTTCACCTGAATGCAGGTGAGCAGATGCTAGCAGCCCAGTGAGAAGGTGGGGAACAGAAATCAGCTAGTGGACAAAGCCCAGGCTCCATGACTCAGGCCCTGAAGAGTGAACAAGCAACCCTGGCACGTACTCTGGCATGGTGGGCCATGGGCCCAGATAACCAGAATGCTGGGGGTCTCCTTGGGAGAACTGTGGCTGGAAGCAGGTGGCCCAGCACACTCCACAGAGGCTGGATCGCAGCTGAGGAGTAGAGCTCACTTCTGAGGCCCTTCTGGCCTTGACTTAAAGAGAATCCTTCCACTAGCCGCTTGTCATGAGCCAGGACCTGCCATCACCACGGGGCCTCCAAAGCCCCACAAAAGAGTCAAGGGTGGAGTTCCTGGCTCCTGGCTTTGTTCTGAACCAGTCCTAGCCACTGACTTACAGTATTTAGGGAGTAAATCAGCAGACGAAAGCATTCATATTCATTCTGACTCATTCTCTCTCTTCTCAAGTAGAATAAGATAAGATATAGGATGTCATTTTTGGTTTTTTTTTAAAGAAGCAATTATTTATTCACTCATTTGAAAGAGAAAGAGGGTTAAACAGATGGAGGCAGGGATTTTTCCATCCACTGATTGACTCCCCAGCTGCCATAGCCAGGTCTGGGCCAGTCTAAAGCCTGGAGCTAGAAACACCATTCAGTTCTCTTACAAGGGTAACAGGGGCCCCTATTCACTCTTCGATGCTTTCCCAGGTACATAAACAGGAAATGGGATCAGAAGCTGAGAATTCAAGCAAGCACTCCAATATGGGACACCTGTGTCCCAAGCAGCTGTCTAACCTGCTGCACCTCAACATGGGCCCCTGGATGTCACTGTTTGGAACCATGCCCCAAACAGAGCAGACTACGAAATAAAAATGCAACGATTTAGGCCTCCAACATCGTGTGCAAATACTAATTTAGAGGGTTGAGTAACCCTGAGAAACTTTCAGCCTAGGCAATGAAACCTTTTTCAGAAATCACTGCACGGTGTGTGGGCCTCAACATCAGGCCCACCTCCATTCAGGCCAAGCCTTGTAGGTTTCCTGGTCCATGGTACCAGCACCATGCCTACAATCCTAGGCTCCGAGGGCAGCTTTCAGAAATGGAGTCTGTGTTTTTCATGGTTATTGGTACCTTATAAGTTAAACAATGTGTAGAGATTCAACTGAGGAACACCAGCAGACATAGGGGCTGAGATCCACCCACAAAGAAGTTTTCCATTGCATGTGTCATGGTGGGATACAGCACCTTCCATTTGAACTAATCAAACATTTGTGTACCCACACACAGAAAAATGTCAAACATTTAGAAGTCTTAAAGAAGCAAATAAATGGAATTGTGTGTAAAAAAATCAAATGAGTTCCTTGTGTTCAAGTTCTGCATCTCCAAGCTAAAGTGAAGTGATCTGACTTCTCAAGGATCAATGTAATAAAAGATAACAGCCAATAGACCAATTGCTAGCAGCGTTATATTGAGTTTTCCCACTTTAATCCTCACAAGAAAGTAGCTAGAGAGAGCCTAATGTTGTAGCCATTTCTCTACTGCCCTCTTTCCCTGTTTTCACCGAACAAGGAAAGTGAGTTTATTTCTTCATTTTTATTCAAGAGACAGAAACTTCTCCTATCCTGTAGTTCACTCACCCAAATGACTGCAACACACAGGGCTGGACCAGACCAAAGCCAGGAATTCAATCACCAGCTCCCATAGAGGTAGCAGAGACCGAATTACTCAGGCCAGTACCTGCTACCTCCCAGGGCACACATTAGCAGGAAGTTGGATTGGAAACAGAGGAGCCTAGACTTAATCCAGGTGCTCTAATAAGGACACGCGGGTGTCCCAAACAGCAAATTAAAAAAAAAAAAAAAAGATTTAGTTACTTTCATTGGAAAATCAGATTTAGAGAGAGAGAAGCAGAGACAGAGAGAAAATCTTTCATCGGCTGGTTCACTCCCCAAATGGCCACAACAGACAGAGCTGAGCTGAGCGGAAGTTTCTTCCAGGTCTCCCATGCAGGTGGGGTGGAAGGGAAAGAGGATTAAGGCTTTGACCCATCCTTTGCTGCTTTCTGAGATCCAAAGCAGCGAGTTGGATGGGAAGTGGCGCATCCAGGACACAAACCAGAGCTCACTGGGGATGTGGCCCTTGTAGACAGAGGATTAACTAGCTGAGCCATTGCATCAGCACTCCCAGCAGCATCTTAACTGCCACCAAAAACCTGCCCCAGAAAATGACTTTAAAATGACAGATATGCTTTTTGTTCTTGGTTACTGCTCTCTTTATCCTTTTTCTATCAAGAGAACCAACCCCTTCTGCCTGGCTCACTACAATACTTGTTCTATTTTAGGGAATGGAGTGTTGCTAAATTCTAGCATCAGAAATAAAGTCATTCAAAATCTTTAACTAAAGGTGCTGTCATTTTGATTTTTACCATAATACTGAGGAGGTAGTGCTCCAGGACAGATTCACGGAGACAGCCAGCTGGTTCCTAACCTTGATGTCACCAGTGGGCTTTAATCCACCCATCAGAACCTCGGCCACCGGTCCCAAAGCTATGTGGATCTTGAGTTTTCATGGAAACAAAGGGGGCATTTGGGAAGTACCGATGATGTAAAGACAATGTTCTCTAGGCCCAGCCAACAGACACTGCACAGGCCAACTGAACTGACTCAGCCTCAGGTACAGCACTCCACACCTTGAGCTGATGTGGAGCCCAGTCACAGGGACTTTCCAGTGGTCTATTTTGACCCTTAGGCGAGTTCAAACATAATAGCAATGGTGCTTCATGTTGAAAAGATTCACCTCAATCAAGTTCAAATACAAAACAGTTGCTTCATGTTGTTTGGCCCAAGCTGAGAGCATTCCTCCTTTGGTAAGAAAGAGCTGTGTAACCCCCTGAGTCATGACACAGGGCCAGCCTTGTTCCTCATCCCTACCCCAGCAAGTGCTTCTGTGCCTAACAAAATAAGACAGCTTCTGGCCCATCCAAGAGGCAAATAAATGCACTTGTAGCACATTAGGTTATTCTGTTACTTTTAGTTGGGATTCAGTAATTTTGGGGGTGTTGTTTTTCATTTGCAGCTAGGCCTGGAGTGATACATCTCTCCCCCTCTTCAGACTGCAAAGGCTGAGAAAAGTTAACAACTTACTCAATATTGAAGACTTGCTAATATAGGTAGGAAGAAGAGCGGAGTTGGTAAGACCAGGAGGAGGAGGTGGAGCTAGCACACCCACAGAGCAAGGGACTGAGGCACCCATGGGAAACTGCCCTTCTCCTGTGCAGCTCTGGGAAGAGATCCTGAAATCTGAGCAGTGAGGCTGGGGCCGTCACAGGGTGTCAGGGACACGCTGGCAAGAAAAGGAGAAACATTTGACTTCCCACTCCTCTCTCAGGATTCCATGCTGGATGATGACAGCGTGGATTTGTATCACCTGGATACTCAGGAAAGAATTCATCCAGCTTCTGAACATTTCTGAGTGTGTGTTTGCACACTTGTGTATTAGAGTCAGTGCCATGTGCTCCCCAAACCCACTTCCTCCTCAGCACCCATTTCCTTTTACACTCCAATCTGGACAGGGCAAGTGGGCTA